TCTGCGATTTGCCTCCAACCTCCAAGTCTCCTGTCCACCGCGTTATCCGGCTTTCTATCCTGATTCAGTGTCTCTCTGCCAAAAAGTACCGGAGTCGTTACAGACCTGCATACACATGATCAACTATCTCAAGACAAAACTCGAAGAATGGGACTCAAAGTCTCAAAATACATTGCCCGACAGAAACTAGGCCGTAGGTACGACCACCTTCTCAAGCTCTTGCACGAGGCTGCCGCCGTAGCGGCTACACCCACCAGCAAGCCTGCAGATCGAAGAAGACTATCACTGACCCGAGATGAGTTTGCAGCTCGAATTCACAACGATTACGGTTCGAAACTTGACAAAAGGTGTTTACAATGTGGACGAAACAGGAATCCAGGACGATATGCCACCCCGATACACTTGGTCCCGTCGTGGAGTCAACGCAAAGCTGTCAGCAGGCGAGAAACACTTGCGCAGCATGACTGCTGTCCTTGCCATTCGTCGGGACAGAGAGAAGACGCCTATCACGTTCGTCATCAAGGGTGAACCAGGAGGCGACATTGAACGGATCGAGTTCCCAACGTATTCAAGCGGCCACTTCTACGCAATGCAGACGAAGGCATGGATGGAGAGTTCTGTATGGCAACAGTACCTTTAGTTTGTTCTTGCTTTAAAAGGTCAAGGCCAGTGCGTTCTTGTGTAGGACAACTTTGAATGCAACGTCAGCAAGGAGAGCGTGGACTCTGCATAGTCACAGTCAGTTGGTATGAAGGTGTGTGCCCTCGCACTCAATGGTCCCTCCCACTGCCATCCATTGGACGTATCACTCATGGCACCATTCAAGCAGCACCTGCGAAACCTGTGAGTTGCCGAGAACATCCTACTAGCAGCTGCTGCCTCAATTGGGATGTGTGATAGAATGTGGGGTACTCACAGACCAACTGCATCGTCGTGAGCCAGACCATAGGTGGTGAAAGCTATGTATTCGCGGCGAACACGCCGACCCAGAACGCTACGTGGTTACCATGGACTACCACGTCTTAGCCAACCCTGCAGGCGCGGGCATGGCTGCAGTGTAGTGTCATATGGCGATAGGATCATGGTATTGACGACAAGTCGTCGTCCTCGCAACGTACGAGCTCTGCAGCCCATATAATGAAGGACAGGTAGAACGAGTCAGAGATCAAATTCAGCTGCACTTGTCGCGTGAACTGGTGGTGACCGAAGTGGATGCCTTTTTCGTCTGCACATGCCAACCACTCGACACATCACACAGACTTCACTTACCCCCCGCGATTGCACCATGACACGTCCACTGAAACCCCGAAACTCTACATGTGCAGCCTCGAGATCACGAGACTGCCAAGTGCTGTGCTCTCGATCGTCACAGGCACGCTGACGTTTGCATTTTGATGGAGCTTTGACAAGGTTACAATATTCCATTTTTATCCGGAAATATGGTTTCTGTTGATTTTTTTTTATTGTGGCTCGGGACAAAGTCGGATCGTGGACGTGTTGGTATCGCGATGACGACGGTCGACGACGCCATCGAGTCGTTGAGCATGATGTTCGAGCTGTATGACAAGGACACGCTCGTGGCCGTTCTTGAAGCCAACGAAGGACATCTGGAACGCACCATTGATGCCTTGCTTGCGATGCAAACGGACAATCCGTCGACTGCACCGGCCACCGCGGTCCTCCCAACTGAAGCCACCACACTCGCCTCGTTTCCACCACCTCCATCAACGGCACAAACTCTTCATCGATCTCGAGCAGTACTTCCCGACGACTTTCTCCGTGTTCCCACTGGCGCCGCCTCCGACCAGGAAACACAGGACCGGATGCTTGCCGAAATGTTGCAGAGCGAATACTTTCGCCAAGAAATCGCGGCCGACCAGGACATATCAAACTACATTGGTATACAAAATCGGGCAAAGGTTGCCATAAGCTCACGATTCCTCTTCGTTTAGGAGTCGATGGTCGGCGCTATCGTGTGCCTCCTCCCGCTGTGCCAGAAAAGTCGGCGTACGACGTCGCGAACGAAACAATCGTGGCCGTGGGCGAGCGGCTCTCCGACATGAGAACTTGTCAGTCATTCTCCTCTTCTCGTTTCGTGTTTACAATATTTCTCTCCAGCCGTGAAGAACAAGATCTCTGAAATGTATGCACGATTCCAGGCCAGTCGCCAGCCGTCCGATCCATCGTACGTGCTCGTTGGAATACTCAACCATTCTCATTCCCTGGCCGTAGCCATCGACCGCTCATGGCGCTCTCGGACGACGAAAGCGACGAATCGTACCATAGTCGCATCCACGACGGACCGTCCTCGGGCGAGTTGACGCGGCGCCGGTCGAGCCACGCATCGAGTCCGCGCCATCACACCGTCACCGGCGGCGTTTGCTCGCACTCCAAGCGAGATTGACACGGACACGCGGTAGCTTGGGCGCTGCTACGTCCCATGGTGAACGCCTAAATGGGGGTACATCCACCAATTCTCTTCCTTCCGCACCCTCGTCCCGACGTCGAGTTAGCACGAGCAGCGTTGGGAGGGTCGTTCACGGACTCGCAAAACGCAGTAGCGACCCACGGATCCGGGTTCCACATATACACATCGTCGACAGCTTTTCACGTGTTGGCCGAGCGCAGCCCGGAGAAACGCTGTGAACGACGCAGCGTCCACCAGGATCGTGCAATTCCTCCTGAAGTCGTCCATCATGTGTACTGCCCCGCACCCACCAACTTGAGCTGTGTACGAAGCATCTGCGACAAACGTGGACATTGCTCGCCTACACGCCGAGGGAATGCGGAGCCAACGGCTTGGTGAGGGCACGATGCAGGGAGAAAAAGACGGAGACGTGAGCGCCTTTGTCGCAGCGTCCATGTACACCAGGACATCGCGACACACATGGCCGAGTGCAGCTTCGTCGGGACGAAGGTCCGAGGTCGGGTGCGCTTTCCACCCAGTGGAACGTTGGCCCGAGTATATGTTGGAGATCACAACGTCGTGCCCGGCGTCGCAATGTCCTGTTGAAGCACGATGCTTTGCAACGTCGCGGATGCATATCCGTTTCCGCGATGGTGTACGGGAGTGAACACTGCAACAATTGTGTACGTGCGGGAGCCATGGTGCAGGCATGGGCGATTGATCACTTCCTCGTATGGCACCTGCACCAGCACGTATGGTGTCCTGCGTGCCTTGGCGAACTGTTCGCAATGGATCGAATATTCACGGATCGGTTCTCGTTCTCGATGCCTTCCACTCGAGGGCACCTCGAACTCGCCACGAGGTCGACCTCTTCCAGAAAGAGTAGGGTACAGGGGTCGTCGACATGAGTTTTTCGGCGCAAATGTTGAAATGACGAGCATTCGCCGCATGCTCCACCGCGCAGCAGAACTACTACTTGGTTTGCTTTGTTCCCATCCCGCATCATCATGTCCTTTCAGTCTCCTCGATCGCCAATTTCCGGATAATCCAAGGATCTTCCGGATACGTTCACTTTAGAACGTGTCCATGACCAAGTACGACGCGCTGTTTATGGGCGTCGCCCGCGAGGAAGGCAGCATCGCGGGGGTGCTGACCGCATTCTTCGACTTTCTCCACCGCAACACGGACTTCTACGTGGTGTCGGACAACCCACAACGAAAAATGGGATTTGCCCCGGGTCAAGCCGAGGCTTTGGTATGCCCGTCGCTCTGGGATGTTGTCGTAACTCGTGTCATGTGTCCAGCTCCTGCAGTCGTTCCATCAATTCCCGACCAAGCCGCTGGAAGGACGTGTTTCCGACGCTCCAACGCACACCTCCCCTGCCGCGACGGGATCTGCACCAACTCCAGCAGTCTCCTTCACGACGACAACCCAACCGCCGAAAGCAGCGCAAATTGCGATGACTCCGGAAGGAAAGCAAAGTAAGCATACGCGTGATGTCTTCACATACCTCTGATCATTGCATTCTCCCAGTTCCCGTGGGAAACGGCGGATCGACGGCAACGTATACGTGGACGCAGAGTCTTCGCGACGTCACGGTATTGCTTGTCCACACGATCGATGGACTGACTCTGCGCAGGTATATCTGGACGTTCCAGTTGGGACAAAGTCCAAGGACGTGGCAGTCACGTTTACCCACACGACAGTCTCCGCTGGGTTGAGAGGACAGGTGCTACCATGGATGATGCGTCGCCTGACTCGATGGTGCTGACGCAGACCCCACTATTGCACGGAACATTCCCCTACAAGATTAAGCTCGAGGACACAGTGTGGTCGTTGGATTCGTCGCGGGTGCTTTTACTTTCGATCGAAAAGACCACGGAAACGTGGTGGAAGTCTGTCGTCCAGGTTTGCGCGAGCATCTTCCAGCACACCCGTTCGAATCTCATGCGCGTATTCGTCAAGGGCGACGCCGAGATCGACACGTCGCAAGTTGACTCAACGCAGCGCATCGACGAGTACGACCCGGAGACGCAAGGAGCCATACGCAAGATCATGGTGCGTCCTCTCTCGCGCTTGTCCACGTTCTTCATGCCAGTTGGTCTCATCGGATAGCACGAGCAGCGCCACGGAGGCCGCATCACTTCCGGCGAGAACCAGCCCACCATGAGCTTCCCGACCTCCCTCGACATGGAATAAATTCATCTCCCATCACATCAAGCCGTCCATGCAATCTTTATCCGTATACTTTCTCGTATCCAGATGACCCACTTTCTGAGTTCCTCGCACCCGAACGACAACGGCGCTGCAACTTGTGCTAGACGCTCTGTGGCGAAGCAGTAGCTCATGGCGCGCGGATATGGCGCCGGCGATCAAGGGAATCTTGTACGAGTCCCACGCGGTAGATGGGATGCATCAGCAGAACGAAGCGACGAGTGCGTATCGACGGGAGAGGCAAGGCATGGTTGATCAAACCGGGCATCACATACAGACATGCATGTGGTGAATGACTCTGTCGAGACAAGCGACCGTCGCTGGATAGACTCGTCTCGAATCAAATCCCCGTCGTTCTCGAGCACTTGGAGGAAACGCGATCGAATCCCGCACGGTTGTCGTCGGTAGTTCGAGTGTGTGTGACAAAAGGTTGTTGGAGCTGACATGGAACCGCGGCAGAACGTAGCGGTGCTGCGAACAGTTTGGTTTTCGTGTGGAAATATTGCTCCCGATTCACGTGGATTGATCTAGATCAGCGAAAAGGAAGACCCGTCAAGGCAGAATGACATTGGGTGACTTGTGGGTTTGAAGGCGTCGAGGCTCCACTGGTCGAGACGGCGGGAAAATATTGCTTTGGCAACAGTGTTACGATGGCGGATCTCTACCATGCACCCCAAGTTCTTTTTCTCTCAGCGTATGACGTCGACGACAGCGTACCCCAACCTTCAACGATATGACCTTGCTGCAGCATCATTCACACACGGCACAACGACAACATGCCAGACGCGCCAACCCAACAAATTGCCCCTTGCTTCAGTGGCCTTGAGTGGCTAAACATGCTTTCTGGTACTCCTTGGCGTGCTTGAGTCTGTCGGCGCGATGTATGTGCTCGTTGAGTTCGATTTTGTGCAACTAAACAAGCATGCATGGCATATGTGAATACAATCCTTTCGAGATTGGGCATACCTCGTTCACAAGCCGCTGTTCTTGGGCTGACTGGGGTTTCAACTCCACAGTAGTCTTCTGCTTGACAACTCTTTCGATGATGAGTTTACGACGTTGATCTTGTTCGGCCTTGGCGTCGCGCCCCTTGCGCTTGACTTCGGCTTCGAACTCTTTTTTCTTGAAGCCCAGCTCCGTTCTCTAAGACACGTACATCCGTCAGAACCAGTAGTTGTGCGAGGCGATGACCTGCAACGCATCGGCCCGCCTCGTTGCTGCACGTCGAATACTCTCTTTTGTGTCTTTCCACCGCTCGGCATTCTCAAGCAGTTTGGCTTCACGGATAAGGCGCATGCGGTCAGTGTCCTCTTTGGTCTGTTTCGGGGCTTCCATGGCCCTTGGCTAAGTGCTTGAATCAGTGTCGAAGAAAGCAAGACTCGTTGTACCAAGGGGCGAATGCGCTGCTTCGTTGGTCGCGTCTACGTGGATGGAGGTGAATGCATGGAATACGTTCGATCTTTGTGATGCCGTACCGTCGCAACGTCAGGGGACGTCGGAGTGGATGGTCCTCCTGCTGCAGTCTCGTGCTTGGCTTGCAGCAGCGGCTGCGTTTGCAGAATTAACGCAATGCATTCTTGCCGTTCCCGCTCGTGTGCTTGATGGCGGACGCGTGCCACCATCTCTGGCACGACGTTTGCATGATCTCGTCGAAACGACTCCAACGACCGATGCTGCAACGTTTCCATAGCTATCCCGAGGGTGCGACACGATTCGTGGACAATCGGGTTTCGCATGAACGCGTGCCACTGCTTTGGATGGGTCATGTAGTACGTTGCCGCTGTCATGAAGTGCGCCTTCGGCTTCATTTCGGTGAGAAGCGACACGAGCTCGTTGTCTAGCTCACGTGTTGGTGCCAACTTGGTCGGCATTGCCATTCTTGCGTCAACTTCAGCTTGCCAATCGGCCAATGTGCAAAGGTCGGGCTCCAAGAAGGACAAGTCGTCCAGAATCACGCCTGATGCCACGAACTGTGCTTGAATACCAGAAATGCCGCTTGTACGTGTAGAGGTCGTTGCAAGATGCTGCCTTGGCGGAACTGGTGGCTCCGAATCGTCGAATGCGACGTTGTACTCATCGTCAACGGAGTTTTCATCCGTGGGGATGTCAAACAAGGGCTGCGCGGACTCAATCACGCTCGTGTGCATTACACTTAAAGTTGAGGTACATGAAGATGCACTAAATATAGTGGCAACGAACGTTTTGAAGTCAAGCGTATCTGGAAAGACATGTTTTCATATTTCGTGTCGTCGTATCCGATATATTGAATAGACTCACATACCTTTTTTTGCTTGAACGAGTGTTTGGGCCGGAATGAGGTAGAGGAGTTGGCACATGAACACTATTGCCACTGCTGCGAAACACGGAGCTGTCGTGTCCTGGAAATAGTCATACAAGTCATGGAGAAACGTAGCAGAGTGTAGAATTAGCTGCATCACCTGGAGCAAAGCGATGCGACGACGAATTCATCTGAGGAGGTAGCCCAAATACTGGGCGTTGTGTCGTAGAATTTGATGCATAAGCAGGGCGGGGAATAGATTTCGCGCTGGGGATACTCGCCATCGTGTTGGCAAATTTGGGTGATGCTGGAACTTGAGGGAGGCGCCCTGACGGTTGCGCAGACATTGCTCGTTGTCCCTGACCTTGACTCTGCGTTTTCAGTGCTTTGACCATTTTCTCCCAGTTGCGGCATTTCCGAGATTTATCTTTGTAAGCCTGTGACCAACGAAGCAATATTCTTGCACACGTTGCACGAAACCAGCTAACTACCTCTCGTAGATCGTCGTTTGAAGCTGTTAATGTTGTAACTTTGCTCTTGTATTCCTGGAGCTCTTCTTCCAGCTTTTCGGTATAACTCTTCATTTGTAAGTAGCGCTCGCCATGCTGCTGTTGGTATCCGTTGTGTTCTTCGACTGTTTATAGATGGACATGAGCTCTGGAAATGTGTTCCATACGAACCCAGAGCATTGCGTAACCGCTCCTTCATGTAGCAGCATTCAGCTTGTCAACCATCGAGACGTAAAGGATGGTATACCTGTCTACAACAAGGGCACAATTTAGTCGGCGAATAATTTGAATATACCTGAAGTTCTCTTGAGCATGCTGGAACTTGACAAATTTTACAGTCAATGCCAATTGGATCTCGAGAATTTTACCAAAAGAAATGCTACTGAAGTTAATCACAACATATCTATTCACAACGTACCAAATGCGCCTTGAATTTGACCTGCCAGTGCAATAACATCAGGAGTTACTGTATGGCATCATCCTACCCAAGCAGGCTGAGGGGTCAGCTAGCATTTCTTCCCATATAACCTGGAATCGTTGATAGATTGAGTATACATCTTAATGTCCACCTCTAGTTTCTACAGAACGTGTTAGTTGAGTCGTAAATTCTGCAATACTCGTGGATCCGTGGCGCTTTTTACAGTCCTACAATATTCGTGATGGCTTGTAGTTCACCTGACAGACTTACATTTCGCATATGCTGCCAGACCTGACACATTCGGGAAGTAGTCATTGATGAAACCAGAACATTCGTCGTAGCTCATACCTCTGACTCAAGTCTACATCATTGTGAATAATGTAAAGTTGACGAACACGTACCTTCTTGACACGCAGGGCAGGTCAAGTCTCCATCTCCAAAATGCTTGTACGCGTCTTTTTCCTATCGCGCGACCCAATCTCCAAATAAAGGGCGAACACTGCGAGCCAGGCATGCATGACAGATACGCACACAGAAGATGTGACTGCATGTCGTACGATAGCACGTTTGCGGCCCATTGGAACCACACAAGACTTCCCAGCATGCGTTGCAGCGAAGTTTGAACGATGCCCATATAGCTTCCTTCGTTCCTTCTTCATGCACGTGTGGATCAATGTCGCTTCGTGAGTTCTCCATGTTCGTCGCCGTCGGCCCTGTCCTTTCTTCGACAGCGGATCTTCTGCAATTGAAAAATGGCGCTCAATGGACAAGTTTATCCGGATGGTCTTTTATCCGGACACGTGGGAAGTGGCAGCACAATCATATCCGTTCCATCGCAAGAATGAGCTGCACCCACGAGCATGCGGACCACGACCATTCCCACGATCATGACCATTCCCACGAAGCCGAAGATGCTGATGGCGAGTCCCTGTTCCAGTACATTGACACAAGCAAAGTTCGTTGCTTGAACGCTTTGGATGAGGAGCACCGCACTCACCCGTTCAAGAGCGCGGCCCACAAGAAAAACAAAGACACGTACTTGGAGTCCAACGAAGACGACCCAGAATTGATCGTGTACATTCCGTACGTAGTGCTTGAAGAGGATGTCAACGTGCTGGATGGCTCACACCATGCTTCTAGTTTTACTGAAGCTGTCAATGTCAAGTCGATTTGCATTTCCGGCGGTGAAGATGGTTTGCATCCGAAATCTGTAAAGTTGTACGTCTGCTACGACGAAGAAGATCGCATGTTCGGGTGTCTATGCGTAGGTTTGCCGGCCGCGAGGACATTGACTTTACCAATGCGACGGAACTACCACCGCTTCAAAAGTTGGAACTAACGGAAGATTTCGATGCCCACATCGACTACCCGCTTCAGTATGTCGATCGCGATGGAAACGTCCTTCCTAACTTGTGATTAGCTTGCGCAAATTTCAAGGAGTGAGCAGCCTCACTCTTTTCTTTGACATGAGTTTTGGCGGGGACCAAACTCGCCTGTACTACATTGGCCTCAAGGGCGAATCCAAAAAGGTAACTAACTATTCACATCTCCCTTTTGTACTCATGTTCTTGGCAGTGGCGCCACGGTGTCGTCGAGTGCGTGTACGAAAGCCGCCCGCAGTTCAGCGACCACAAAGTCCCCGGTTCCGCTATGTTCAACACGTCGTCACGAGAATCTGCATGATGCAACAATGCAGTGCATTTCCTCTTAAATATACACTCGACTACTCGTTGTCTATTTGATCTTGGCAGCGTTTGCTTCAGGCATGCGCTCGATGGCGTACTTGCGCTGGGCGATGTACATAATGGGGACACCGGGCACTTTGCGGATTCGGCGCTTGAGTTCACGATCGCATGTTGCGACAATGTAACATCGCGACTAAGACCATTTCAATATCACGAACTTGAAAATCGGGGAATCGTACCGATTGGATGCGCTGCATCAAGCAGTCATCGGCGTATGTGCCTTTGTGCGTGCATGGGAGTCGCTCGAAACGAGGGTCCTTGGCCAGACGCAGTGCGACACGGTACTTATGTCCGAGCTTTTCCAGTTCGGCCATGACGCAGTCGGTGATGCAAGGAATGCACTTGGCCAAAAGGCAGTCCATCATCGCCGACACGACTTCCAATTTGTTCTTGATACTGAAGTTGATAAAGTTCGTATCCACCAAGATGTTGTACGGTGGGCCAAGGTCGGCGTTGTACTTGAAGAACAAGTTGGACGGGATTTGATCGCTACGTTGCGGTGCTATCAGGTAAGGCGAACGACAAGGCATGGAAGTGCACGATAAACGTACATTTGGCGGGGAGCTTCCTTCTCCTTTTTCTTGAGCTCCTTCTTGGCCACGGCCACTTGCACAGACTTGCTACAACGCTTGAGAGTCAGGAACGTTCTCCAAAGACCAAACACACTTTATCGCCATGAGACTTACATGCGTGTGTCCTTGGGGCTAATCATGCGCTTCACCGCGGCAAACTTGCGCACTTTCTTCTCCTTGGCCATGGCGACGAGCGAGCGCGGGACCAAAATGACCCCAACAAGACACCGTTGTTCAATCTACTACCGTCCAACCAAATTCCACCAAGTCCCAGCGATGTATTTTAAATCTCAAGTTGAAATTTCGCTCGATTTTTAAAAGCGGATACACAATTCTTGTATACAATATTTTGAATTGTATCATTGTGCGCTTGAGTCTTGCATTTCTGAAAAACTGTAGGAATGAATGCAATGCAACATCAAATTAAAGAGGTTTTTCGTGCGAGTGAACTCGCGACCCCGGTTTTGACGCCACGACATCGCCGCCATGAAGCGCCAGCACCCTTCGAGCAATGGCAAGGGGAAATGGACCGGCAACAAGAAGACCAAGTCTGTTCAATTTAAAAGCGCCAAGCATGATGACGACGTGGGTGGAAGTGACGACGATGACGACGACGTGAAGGGGGTGCTCGATAGCGACGACGACGACGACACGAAGAGCAATGGTGATTGCGATGAGGTTCATCATGCACAGCGACATCACAAGCAGCAAGAAGGCGAAGAAGACGACCGACCAGACATGCCGCAGTATGCAGAAGAAGGTGTGCGCATGATGGCCTTCAATTTGAAGGAAGACAGAGAGGACGGTCACTTTGACGAAAATGGGAATTTTGTATGGGCCAAGGAAGACAAGCCGATTCAGGAAGATGCTTGGCTGGAGAATGTTTCTGCACAAGACATGGAAGGTGCGGAACGAGCTTACATCCTGAGGCGCGAAGCCCAAAAAGACGAGGAGGAATCTTGGACAGAGCGCCGTGCGACCAGTGTGTTCATGGAGGTGCTTGAAGAAGGTGAGACCGTGCTGAAGGCACTGAAGCGGCTGGGAAAGAAGAAGAAGGGCTCGAAAGGACCAGACCAAACCCCGGACATGAAGCGAGAGTTTGACGAGCTCACAGAAGCGTCGGATTATCTCATGCGCCAAGGAAAGGCAGACGTGTACCACACCCCCAAGGAGCAATTGGTGCCGCAAGCTCCCGCCAAGCCGCCAGTACTGTGGGAATACAAATCGCAAGACGGGCAGATTCAAGGCCCCTACCCGACAGCCAATTTCATTGCATGGCAAGCACAGGTGCCTCTCGCTCTCATGACATCCTACGTGGGGCTCACCATTCTTCCAGGGCTACTTTCGAGGGGACAGCGCTGTTCAAATACGACAATACGAACCTCAAAAAGCCGTGGCAAGCGAATCGTCGGCGACGCAAGATCTCGAAGATGACTTTAATGACGACGACGACGACGAGGACGGCGGGTGGGTGTCGTCCAACACTATCGACTTCCACATGTACAGTCGTTGATAATGTAAGGCAGTCCCGGAAACAGCCGTTCCGTCGTCGACCAATGTGCGCGGATGTATCATGGTGTGGCACTCCCTGTCACATTCACTCGACGACTTGTCTGCCTCCACGCATATTCGGTTGCGCTCATCTTTGTTTGCCGCTCCTGTCTGCTCTCTTCTCACCCGACTGGAAGATGTCTGTGCCCTTCGTTGGAAGCGTGGGTGCGCTTGCATGGCCACACTGTCTTCCCGCACCGTCTCCTCCCAGATGATCGTAATGAAATGTGCGCCATATCGTGCACATTTGCGGCCGCCGTACACAATATCAAACCACTGTTCATTTTAGTGCACACAACTTTGGCCTGTGTTGAATCCAGATAAAACTTTCATGGTGCGCTTCAGTGAGAAACATACGGTGAGATGACTGGACCTGGACCAAGGGATCTTACTGCACGAAGGATTCCCGATGCATTGTTTGGAGCGATGGGGAACGTGTCTTGCCCGCATCCATCGTCGCCAGCATATCATGATACCCAGATTGCCCATAGTTTGACTTGGTTTAGTATGTAGTCGAGTCGCTCGAAATATATGATGAATGTTTCGAACGACAAAATTGCGCCAATCGGTGGGAGGTCGGGAGGTCGAGCTAAACTCATCTACCAATGAAATCAATTGAACGCAATGGAAACGCGTAAAACGTGCACCTGCTGTTGGCATCCAGAGCCGCGATTTTCTACCAAAACTCGTGGCGACCACGATGGTAATGGCGGCCGGGCGAGCAATCATTCCTCCAAACTCGTTGGCGTATGGGATGCATGCCTGCGGCGCTTGCAGCGTCATCCATCGAAGCATGCCACATCGACGACAAGGCGTGGAAAGTTTCAGCGACGTCCGACAGAACTACCATGCGACGAGAACGTTCCTGCAGCGACGCCGTCCTTGAAGTGCTTGCCCCATACTTTGACGATCGATCCTCGGTACGTCGTCATGATGAGTGGACATCGCGGCCTTGACTGTCCCGACTAGATTTCCACGGACAGATCATCGTGTTTATCGTGGGAAGACGAGTCCGAAGACGATTCCTGTGTCGATGAAGGCGATGACGTTGAAATTCACTGCGAACAAGATCACTACCCTCTCCATCGAAGGCAAAGCGACGTCGCGATGTTCCGCGCTTCTGTTCTTCAAGCCCATGCATGCCCACTTCACCTCCATCAGATCTTCGACTCCCTCCAGGAACTTCATCATCGGGTGTACGTCGACCGATGCCTCGTCCACGTGCGCCCGTCCTTCCTCCTCCTCGACCTCGTTCATGCCGCCACGTCCGTCGAACTCATGAAGCGAACACTTCTCGATGTTCCTCTCGAAGTCTTGGATCTCCTCCTCGACATGATCGACGACACATGGGTCGACATCCTCGGTCTGCAGCACTACGGCAAGCGCGGCGAAGTCCACTACGCGCGTCTCTAATTTAAGTCGTCATCACTTCCGCGCGGTAGTACGTAGTGCATGGCACACAGTTATAACTTAACATATTCCACTTCTCCTTTTTGGCCGAAATGGTGGAGCCCATGGACGTCTTCCATGACATGGTGGATCATGCGCACCATCTCGTCGGCCGCTTCAAGCGTTGGTGCGTCTGAGTGCCGCCGCACGGTCTCAATCGCGTCGAGCATCCCTTCCAAGTCGGCTTCCACGCGGCGCCTCGGCATCACCTTCAAGCATCGGTCGTCGTAGATGCGCTTCATGCAGTCTAGAAAGTCATCCAAGACTTCCACGAGTTGTTGCTCGCTGCCAGACAGTTCGGAACGCTGCCGTCGCAGGATGTTGGACGCCACCGAATTCGACTGTGGCAAGACGTCCCATTAGGATGGGAAGAGACGACGGGTGCCACCATACCGTCTCGGCCAATGTCGCCTGGGGACTCCACGACAGCGTACGAGCTCGAACGCGAGGTGGGGAAACGAGGATTTGTTCGAGCTTGACGAGGTCCGAAAGGCGGCTTTCGGCCGAGTACGAATCCCGCGCACGAAAGATCTCCACGTCCCCCGCAGCCGCGTCGCTCGCGGAGGAATCCCACGACGACGTCGTCGTGAACGCCTGATCCATCATGTGACGAATCGACACGACGTACGGATGACCACCTACCGACAGACGCTCGGGCAAGTTGCTCACGTTGTCGTCTGGTACGTCGTCGTCATGCAAGTATGGGGACACATCGAGGGAGGCCGCTCGACTCAAGTGGGACGGAGGTTTGTCGAGTGGTGCGGTCGATAGGCGGCTTGTCGTGTCGGCGACTGTGGGAACCGTCGTACGTGGCGTGCTGGTCTCGATGACTGTTGGGGAAATCGGGACGTGTGGAGTGCTCGTCGCAGAGATGGATGGAAGTCCGTTCACGGAGGCAGCGCCGCGCCGCGCCTGGAGGAGCGAGCTCGTGCCAGGCACCTTGACGCGATGGACGAAGAACATGTAGAATCTTGGTATCCGAGTGAATATGCTTGGAACGTGGACAGTAGAGACGGGGATGGGTGACATTTGAACGGTGTGAAATTGAACGTCGTCCTCGCGCCCTCTCCCTCATTGTCATCATGGACGGACGATAGCTACGCCGAGCCTGCATCCGTACAGGCCATGCGAACCATGACGATCAAGTGCGCCATCCTAACGACTGCGAATGTTGCTCATGCTGCTGGCGTCGTGAATCTGGATGAGGGACGTGTGCGCGGGCGACGGACCACATTGAACTCGGTGGACGACCGCATCGGAGCACCGAGGAATGAAAGTGCACTGCGCGCTCATTCGTCCATCATGTCAAAGGTGGCGCTCCACGAAGCAACAAGTGGGGGAATCCCCGTCGGGACAGACACGTCGACTTTGGTGTATGCAGTCGCGACGTAGGCCCAAGTACTCAGATTGTAAGAATGGATAATGGTTGTCGTTTCATGACCCGTAGGTTCAAACGACGCGCATGATGAATCATCCTCGTACGGCTAGGGAAGGGTTCGTACAGATAAAGCAAGTATGAAAGTGGTGCGCTCAGACATCCAAGGAAGTATATTCGCCTCTTCCAGCGTGAGCTGTCGGCAAAACACTGCGAATGTTTAAGGGAAAAATCATCATCATCGCGCACATGCAACACGCACACATACAAGAATGAGCGGAGGAAGCGTTCACAAACGCTGGGTCACGATGCATCTCTTACGTGTCGATGGGTGTCGTGGAGAACACGACTTGAGTAATCCCCGTTGAGTTAACCCGCACACTGCCGCACGACGTCGACGTGGCGTGGGGCCAATTGCATAACTGTGGTATGACGAACAGACCTCTCTCGTCGGCACATGCTCCACCCGAAGGCATCTTCGCAGCGTCCAAAAGAAGCGTTTTGCATTCACTGCCGGCACTCTCTGCCCTGCGGTCCGGGGAATTTCCCAATCACGGCGCCATCGCGGGGATGGCGCTTGACTCTGCAATTCTAAATCGAGTTCTGACCCCACGGTTCGAAACACGCCCCGAATTTGAACACCATTCGTTCCCGCCGGTCAAACAGAGGATTGGAAAGAGTATACAAAAAACTAGTGAAAATAGTCGGTTGCCCAATTGATTCTAACCCGAACTTTGACGCTCGAAACAATTCAATGGACGTCGACCACTTAAACTTGGAGTTTGTATGGGGTGGGGTTTTTGTAGGGGTAGGGCCTCTACCACAGGTGGAACTAATTTGGTGGAGGCGCCACGCTGTCGTCCGTTTGAATGCGTCACGAGGAGCTGAGGTCAGCTGCAAAGACACACTTTCGTGCATGGAAGCTTGTTTTGCTTGGTTGGTGGTGCGTGTGGATGATGTCGGACTGCGTCTTTGAATTTTCTCGACGGTCCACCCGATCGTGATAGTTGAGAAATCATTTATGAAACTAGACACCATGCTTCCTTCATACTAGTATGCATCAACATGATAGTTGAGAAATCATTTATGAAGCTCGACACGCTCATTGTGGAGAACTTAATGAACGACGTGACGATTTCGGTTGCGAATAAAAAATGCAAAAAATGGGTGAAAAACCTGGAACAGGTCAAATTTAGGTGCAAATCAAACCACGACATGTAACTGTTGAAACCGTCGTCACCTCCATCGTGCAAGTATTTTTACTTGAAACATGCACTCCAAGGCGGCGGCGGTCGAGCGCCGACCGTCGGGAACGAATGTCCTTCTTCCAAGCACGCCACCCAACTGCATCATCTGCCGGTCGTGCAAACAACCCGTGCATCTTGACGACATTGGCGACCACGACTGCAGCACTGCCAAGACTGTAAACTCACCATTGGCACCACCTGCCGTGGTGGAGCAACCGAAACCAAGCGTCGTTCCGTCGCCTCGTCCTTCGCTGTCGATGCTACCGTCGCTGCCTTTGCTGCAACCTACTGGGTCGGCAGCAACCCCACCACTTCCAGCAACAGGAGCGAAAGCGCCGCCACCGCTTCTCACACGCAAGTCTTCCATATCGTCCAACCAATCCGCTGACATTCAAGCCCGCGTGACTCAAGTCACGGTCAACGCGCTCGGCTTCGCCACGTATCGCATTTCATCTACGCTCTGGCCCAACGGCCCCCAGTTCACCGTCGACCGGCGCTACCGCGACTTCTATGCGTTTGCCACCCTCCTTCAGCTCATGCTACCGCCCCAGTCGGCACCGACGAAATCGTTGTGGGTCAAGCTGCCCCCCAAGACGTATTGCAGTCGCAATACGTTGTCCGATGCGTTCTTGCTGCGTCGCAAAGCTGGCTTGGAAGGTCCGTCGTTCCCTGCATGTCCTTCCACCGTCGAACGTCACACCCTCTCTCAAAGGATTCCTTTCTGCGGCCATCGACATGCTCATGAATCCGAAAAACACCACCGGCCCCATCCACAAGCGGACCTTGACACAGATGCACGTGTTGCGCGAGTTCCTTGGCATTCCCGCAGCCAGAGACGTCCAAGGCGCCGTGCGAGGTACCTCGTCCTGTCAACATGACAATGTGACAATGACTTGCAGATGCCAAACGTCTCGGGCTGACCTCGGATGGGTGGACGCTACTGGAATCGGTCGGACCGCATGACCACACGTTCGAGCAGCGTTGCGATGGCTTCAACACGATCAAACGAGTCGCAATGGTGCCGTTTCCACCGCGTGCGATTTTCGACCTGCTCGTGCTGCCACCTCACCAAGCAGCTGCATTCAACCCGACCATCGTTGGCGGGAGTCTCGTCCGAAAAGAGTCGACGTCGCTCTGGGTGGAACATGTGCAGCTCAAGGTAAGAACCGTTGCCGTCCTTCTCGTGATGACGCTGCCCCACCAGACCGTGTGGTTCCTTCCGGGTGTCGAATGCGTCAACGTGAAAAGCTGGCGGCTCGAGCCCAACGGTACGATCATCGTCGTGTCGATCCCGGCCGCCGAGTGTCCGCCGCACGTGACGGCGTCGGCGCAGAACGTATTAACGGGATGGATCCTCTCTCCTGTCGATGCAACATCGACTTCCGTCACGATGGTGACACAAATGGACTTGAAAGGCCACATCGGCCCCAACTCGCCCTGGAACAAACTCGCTCTTCGCAACTACGCCATGGACTTGACATACCTCCGATGCCACTTGGACGAGTCGTACGACAAAGCATACTACGACGCCCTCGGGCCGCTCGTGTCGCCCGACGAGCTCCACGCAGTCACCCTCCACCCTCACGACATGCAGATACCTGGCGCCGGGGACAAGGACCCCAAAGGTATGCGCTCATCATCGACCAGTCGTGTCTTGATGGGATCTTGCAGTGTTCGTGGTGTGCCAGCAGATCGAGCCGCTCTTCTGCCTCTTGATCCATAAAAACACCAACCGCAATGCGCTCATCCTCAAGCTCAACGTGACGAACGACGACGACTCCCAGGCGCTGCACATGACGGATCCGCTTGTCGGCGAGTGGGTCATGTTCGAAAAGGCCAAGAACCCGCGGTAAAGCAATGCTCAGGACACTGGTTTTGCTCGGAGCACTCACCGGACACGACGGTAGACAATCCATGAGTGCCATCGAACGCAACACGACTTACCAGTGGACGACAAAGCATCTTGGCCAAGGCGTCCATGCGATTCAATTCGGCATGCTCAAAGGCAGGACGTTCCAGCTGCGCAATCACGCGGGTTACTTTTTGCACGGGACGCTCAATGGCAAGCCCAACGTCATGCTGAAACGCTTCTACCTCACGTTTGCGCCGTCCATGGTCGGCCTCGGCCAGCTCGATAAGATCGAGCTCGTTGGTGAAACAGAGACCGAGGTCGTGTATGTTCGCTAATGCAAGTCTTTCTTTTCGGGACTAGTTGGAATGAAGCCACGACCACCCGACAAATGCACAGCCTACATTATTGCAGCTGTTGCATCTTCTCCTCAAAACTTGCCGCCCAGCTGTCGAGGTTGGTTAGAATTGCCTTCGGCTCGGAGTCGTCGACTCCTGTTACGGATGGGCTAGTCGCTTCTGACGAAGCGCCTTGTTCTATCGCGTCCGTGGGCTTCTCGACGCTCTTGGACGGCGATCGCTGAGTAACACAGAGATCAGCGTCATCTTCTACTATCCAGGGGTTGAGCAGGATTACCTGTAGTGTTGGCGACGACGGACGGCGCATGCTCAACCGACGAGTCGATTCACACCCATTTCCAAGGATGTTCGGCTTAAATGTGCACCCCTGCTGCTCCAGCTCTTCTTTTCGCTTTTCCCTGTCTTCCAATATCTGTTTCTTGTCGTTGGACAGGCGTTCCCACACCGGCTCCTGCGGCACCTCTTTCAGAATCAGCGCTGGATCGACTAGCACTTGGGGCTTGAACGTGCATTCCTCCATTTCCTTCTTGAGTTTTTCCTGTTCCGCCAGCTCCAACATTTCCTGCTTCTTCTTGGTCTCTTCAAAGAGTCGCTACAAACCACAGGACGTGAGTGTCGTGCCACAAAGAAGTCCTGGCAACATACATTAAAGATGCTGCCGCGGCGCTCCAACGATACAGTTGGCGCAATGATGATTTCAGGCTTGAAGGTACACTCTTGCGATTCCAGTTCGATCTTCTTTTGCTCGCGTTCCACAGCTTGCGATTGCAGCAGCTCTTTGTTGAACAGTCGCTCGTGAAATGGGACTTTTTCCATCGCTTTTGATGCCTTGACCTTTGAATCGTTGATAGCTGGGCGAAAAGTGGCCTCTTGCTCGATGCGTTCCTCTTTGGCCTTCCGCAAAGCTTCCAAGCGCTCCACTTTCTTCTTGTTGGCTTCCTGCAACCGATCAAAGAACGACTTGTCGTTCGTCTTGCCCTTGGCCGACGTCTGGGGTTTGAACGAACATTCGGTCATCTCTAGCTCGGCCTTTTTACGCTCCTTCTCAAGGCGCTTTTGCTTGAGTAACTCGGCGTCATACAACGGTTGCTTGGGTGGCGATTTGGTTTTCTTGTTGATCTTGGGCTGGAACGTGCATTCGACGGCGTCCTTTTTTTCAAGTTCTTTCTTCTTCTCTTCTCGTTTGGCTTCAATTTCCTGGTGGTTCTTGTACAGCTCTTCGACGCGTGACGTCGACTTGGAAACATCGGTGTCGTGCCGGGCGGACAATCGACGCGACAAGTTCGAGATCTCGGGCTTGTACGTGAACTGTGCTTCGAGGCTCTGCTTCAATTCTTCCTTCCTCCGCGCCATGTCCTCCGCTTGTTCGTGCAGTGCGAGGAACCGATCCTTTTCGGACGAATCTTCGCGCTTAGACGCTGTCCGATTGATCGTGGGTTTGAACGTGCACTCTTCTTTTGGCTGCCGATACAAGTTGTCCCGCTTTTCCTTGAGTTCCATAGCTTTCGCGTAAAGCCGATGGGCTATCTCGTCTTTTTGACTTGGCGACACGGATTTACGTTTTGAAGGAGATACGTCAGACTCTGTCGGAGCAGGGGGTGGAGCGTTCTTGTCGTCCAACGTGAAACTCGACGTCGCCCCCCCGGACCCCTTTCGCACAGGGATCTTTGACGGCGACGAGTTCAAGATTCCCTTGATCTCATCCACCATTCGCGTCACCGTTTCAGCGGTGGTGCCTTTCGACGCTTCGCCATCGGATGTAGAAAGGACAGCGGGTGATACGAGTTCCGTGGGGACAGAAGTAGCGCTCAAGCATATCTCGGCGTCTTTCAAATGAGCCCCATCCATTACGAGCGATGGAGCTTCCTTCTGCGGCAGAGGTGTGATGGCAACCGCGTCCTGATTTGCCATGGAGATGCCGGTTGCGGCAGCTGCAGGTGCGACGTCCGTCATTTGCGAACCTGCGCGCTCTTTTTGGAATGCCAACGCGCAAATCGATCTTTTGGAACGAATTTAAATAAATTCGCTCACCACATGGAACCGTTTCACAATTCAATACAAAGTTTCATATGTACGACGCTATTAATATTCGACGATTGAAATATGCGCTAAATTTGGGCACGCCTTTTCGAACATCGCCGTCCTCGACAAGGACGACGGCCCGAGCTACCTCGGCGACCGACGAGACACCATGCGAACCCACAACATACAACGCATGGCAATAACGATGCATGATGACCAACATTGGCATGGATGTGTATGCGCCCCTGCGATGACATCCGCAGCGGCCATCCAGTGGTGGCGACGTTTCCTGCCGACACCAATGTCAGAACCAACGTAAACGACCCGCCATCCCTCGAGTGAGCATGCACGCGCTCTCAACTATGGATGAGTAATCTTTTGCCGACGCCATGATGTCGTTGGAGGAATGCATGATGTGACCGAACGGTCACAGCTACACATCCGCTGAGCTCCTGTTTCGACGATCCAGCCATGATGCCTTCGCAGTCCAAGGCTATCATGCAAGACACACCCATTCTCTCCATGTTACTTCAATCCATTCATGCATGTTCTCTATAACGCGGCAAGGCTCCGTGGCAGGCGCCGTCGCGAGCGCAGATGATACATCGGATGCGGTTTTGAAACCGTCGGATTATCCGGATATGCGAGTTTAAGGCGTGAATCTCTAATGTTGCTCCAGCCGCACTCGGCCATGGTGTGGCTCCTTGCAGCCGTCCATATTCGATCAGTAGATGGTGTGGCGAATGCGCCCCTGTCGTGCATCGCACAGTGTGCGCAGACATGCAATTGCCCCATCAATTCAAATGGCGACGTCTGCAGCAACCGCGGCATGTGTTTGAATGGAGCCTGTCGGTGCAATAGCGGGTTTGGCAGCACGAATACATCCGTTGGGGTGTGTGATGTCGGTAAATTTTCGTCTTTCTTGCCCCATGAACACATAACGACCGTTCCCCATCGATAGAGTACGTTTCGCTCAACAACAGCACGTACCTGTTTGTCCTGATCGCGTCCTGCGTGTGTGGCCTTCTCGCGTACAACGCGTCGCTCGTCTACCTCTACTACACAGATCATTCCCTCTTTCAAAAGTCTCGACCTGCCTTTGCGCATGCCATGAACGCAGGCACGATCCTCATCGCGGCGTCCATTGCAGTCGCATCGTCCATCGTGGCGGACCCTCTCTCGTGCTCCATCTTGTGGTGCATCGCGGACCTCTCGTTCGTTCTAGTGTTTGGCACGATCTTACTGCGTCTGTACCGCAACGTGTGCGTCTTGCTGTCGTCTGCGAAAGGCCCCCCGATCAAGTTTCCCGACAAGTGGGTATTTGCACTCCTCGGCGGTACGGGACTCGACCCAACTCGACGTTCACGTGTTGTCATGGTAGGACTGCTGCTGATCGAAGCAGGAATCTTGGCGGGGGTGTGGGCATTTCGTGGGTTTACTATGCACGACACACCACTCTGGCCGAATGCGGACGGTGTGACGTGGACGAAATTCCAAGGGTGTTTTCTCGATTCCCAACATGCAGCGATTGCCCTGATCGCTCCGAAAGGCCTGACCTTGCTCGTGATTGTCGCGTTCGCTCTGCAACTGCGGCGTAGCAAGAAGGAAGAGCGTGATATGACGAAGCTCGCGTCCTGCGTCGCCATCACCCTTGCGCTGTGGGCGATCGGGCTCTCGCTATACGGGACGGCGACCAAAGCCCACGGGGACATGTTTTACCTCTGCCTCGTCTTTTTGCTCTTGCTACCGTCCGCCATGGTCGTGGCCATCACGACGTACCCCAAATGGATTGAAATCCACCGACTGGGCGGCCACTTTACGCCGACCGTCCGCCCCAGCACGAAAAACTCGGCCGATCTCAACCTGTACCTTCATCACATCGACTGGCACGACGTCGCGCAAGTCGAAGAGGCTGAGACACAGCTCACCGCATTCGTGGCGAGCGACCCTCGCCACGGCCTCGACATCGGTGCCTCTTTTCGTCGCTTGGTTGGTTCACGCAAGCGATGTGCTCATAGGTACAATCCTCATGCTGCTGTCGGACAAAGTCCGGCACCGCGGTATTCGTCGCCTCGCCGTGGCGCAGCTCCAGCACGCCGACGTGGCGTCCGTCAGTCTGGTCTTTCCCCAGCTGCTCCAGGCCCTCAAGTACGACCTCGACGCGGACGTCGGGGACGTTGCAGCATCTCCGCTCGTCCAGGCGCTGCTGCGATATGCCCGCGAGTCCATCGTCGTCGCGCATACATTTCACTGGAGCGTGGTGGTCGAGCTCGAAAACACGGTTGCGGTCGTCGTTGACGACATGGAGATCAAGCACCAAGACCGGCCGACCAAGGCGCTGTATGCCGCGCTGCACGAGCTCTTTCTCGACGCCATGGCGACGACGGCACATGGTACGTTTGCGCAATGGCGTCCTGTTGCGTTCACACGAGTGGATGTGTGTGTGCAGGCCACTTGGTGGCCCATCAAATCGAGATCGTGTCGTTTCTGGCCCACGTGTACGACGGAATGGCTCGACATCACGTGGACGCTATGACGATCCAGTTGCGTGAAGCGCTGACAGGTCCCGAAGCCACGTTTTCGTCGCTCCATCCTCTGTATCCGTCGATTTGGGTGCGCGGGTTCGACCCGGCGCAGTCGTTTGTGTTCAAGAGCAATGCCAAGCCGATGAAGGTGCACCTTGTCGTGGACACAGCGGCCCAGTTGGAGCATATTACCGTCGACATGCGGTCGGCGCTCGATCGAACGGCGTCGACAAAGGCGGCGCTTGCCCACATCAGACACACTGTCGACGTGACTGTGGCTGACGTCCGAGGCAGCAGCACCAACGCAACGATTCGAATCGACGTCCACGGGCATGTGCAAACGTGTACTGTCGACGACCGAGGTGGTGTCGAGGCGCGGTTTGAGGTCGGCGAAGTGCCTCAACTAGTCGAGCTCTTGCTCGTCGACGGCCGATGGAACGAGTACGGCACCGGTCCAAGCAGCCACAGCGGCGGCAACGACACGACCCCGTCGCGCATGCTGGAGGTACACTTGCCTCCATCGCTGTACTTGCCCCCGACAGAGATGCAAATGCCCGACTCTGGTACGATCAACCGTCTTGAAAGGGGAGTGGCAGCTCATGCGCACACAGACGTGTATGCGACTGTCAGCGTCATTGTGACGAGCCATACAACCCATGGCCACGATGACGCGACGAAAGAAGGCCTTGCGCGCGCAGTCACGGAGAAGCTCCACGGGACCATCGACGCGGTATCGCCCGGCATTATCTTCAAGGTTCGTCAGATCGACCTCGTACGGTTCTCTCTACACGGATCGAAATTGTAGCATGGCGACGACCTGCGCCAAGACGCGCTGGCGCTGCAACTGCTCGCGGTCATCGACTCGATCTGCACGCGTCACGGCCAGCTCCATTTGCACTTTACGCTCTACCGCGTGCTGGCTACGTCGGTGAACGAGGTGCGTTGGCTTTTGTCGTGAACACGATCGTTTGAAACGTTGGCCACAGGGCATTGCCGAGTTTGTGCCGCACAGCGCGCCGCTGTCCCAAGTGCTCCGGGACAACCACCACAGCATCCTCGAGTTTTTGCAGCGCCATCAGTTTGATGCGGACGCGCCGAACCAGGTCAAGCCCCATGCCATGGACATCTTTGTGCGCAGCGTTGCAGGGTACTGCGTCGCCACGTACGTGCTGGGGGTGGGCGATCGCCACCTGGACAACTTGATGCTGAAATCGACGGGCCACTTTTTTCACATTGATTTTGGATTCCTCTTTGGAAAAGACCCCAAGGTACCGTGCCTCCCATCGACCACGGATTGACGCATCGTGTAGCCGATGCCGCCGCCATTCCGGCTCACTCCCGACATGGTCCATGCGATGGGCGGACTCGACGGCGAAGCGTTCCAACTGTGCATCGCGTACGCATGCGAGTGCTTCAACTTGCTGCGGAAGCACGCGCACGTTCTCTTGGCGGTCCTCCATCTGACGAAAGAGGCCGGGATCCCGCACATGCACACCAACCTGAATCAAGAGAAGGACGTAGCCATACACGAAGTACGTGCGATCGACGACAGATGCATGATGGGAGTCTGGCGATCGTTCGTTAGGTCGAGAAGCGCCTCGTGCTGCGGGCGTCGAGTGAAAAAGCAAGGCAGTTCATGACGCAGCTCATGGTCGAGTCGCAGAACCCGCAGACAACGGCGCGGTTGAGCCTCCTGGAGCGAATCCACCGCGTCGCTGTTGCTCTCAAGTAAGAAAAGGAATCGAAACGTCTTGCACGCAGAACAAACTGGAATTACGTCGACGATGGGGACTAGTTGAGGCGGAGGATCTCCACCAACGCGTCGGCGCTGATGTAATGGCCGACGCACGACTCGCTGTACCGAAAGCGGCTCCAGCAGTTCGTAAAAGGCGGCACAATGCAGTGGAGGTGAAGGTGGCTCACCGAGTTGAACGGGTACTGGTGAAACCCAAACTTGCTGCAGCGACAACGTCGTCACGATCTGAAGAGAGCGGCGACCGACGACGTACTGGTCGTGGGCAGGGGCCAACGCGTCGGCAAACAGGATTGCGCACTGCTCTGCCAGCACTCGCTTGCCGACGGCCACCATGTATTGCACTGCACATATCGTTTCATGACGATAATGGACGGAGGAAGAAGGCGACAAAGCAGTAGTAGCGGTCGTACCGAGGGAGATGTGCGACTCGTCGAGTTCGGACGAGTTCTTGATGTGCTGCTTGGGCACGACGAGGACGTGGATGGCGGCGCGCGGGTTGTTGTCTCGGAACGCCATCACGACGTCGTCCTACGCAGGCGGCATCGTTACGGGCAGCTGCATGAACGTGAAAGGAATGGTGAACTTCGTAGAGGATGCCGTTCGTCGCGCACGCCATTGGGTCGCAGAACACGCAGTCCTCCATGGTGATGACGCCTGTATGTGTGTACAACTGGAATGAACTCGACGTTATTTTTACTCTTGCGAGCCATGCAGCGTTACCATCGACCACTATCTCTTGCGCCAATGGGCGATTTCGACGATGTTGTTGTCCAAATCGTGAAAGAAGAGCGACCATTGCCTGCCAGACCATGAGAGATCACGAGCGATGCACTGAGCGGGAACGTACCGGTCGTAGTCGAAGAAGTCGACGGAAACGTTTGGCCCGCCTGCGCGTTTGAGGTCATCGGGGAGTCTGCCTTTGATCTCAAGAAAGTCTGCTTCGTCGGCGCATGTGATAGCAAAGTGTGCGCCATTATGGTCTCGTATCGGTGTTTGCGTCGGTTCCAACGGAAGAAGCGCCACTTGCGCCGATCCGACGCGAAGGAACGCCGGGTTGTACCCAAAATTCTTGTCGTGTTTGTACATATGCTCAGCACCCAACAACTCCTCGTAGAACCGAACTGACTTGTGCACATCCTTCACTACGAGGCAAACGTGATCCAGCGCGGGAGGACGGCGTCCGAGGATGCCGCGAGTGGTGCTGCTGAACCATCGCGCCCGTGTCAAACCTCGCACCGCCGTCATGATCGACGTCGATTCGACAATTCAAATTGCGTGGAATTCATGGAACGAGGCTCCAATTATTCCTGGAAAAAGAGGAAATTTCTTGCAAATCAGGTGAAAAAATGACACAAGTATCCGAAATTTTTGATGAAGAAATGATACTTAGTTCGCTTCAAACCGCAGCCAACGCGAAATTTGACCGACCTGCAGGGAGCAGACCGGATCGAGAGTGCGCCGCCCGAGCAGCAGCGACGAAGCCGAGAACTTTGCGATATTCCTTACGAAGGTTCGTCCGCAGTGTGAAGGAAGTCGCGGTAACATTCTTTAATGCTTCGTCGACTTGATGCAGTCGTTGGAGGAGATCCGACTTGGATGTCGCAGGTGTCGGACCAGCGTGTTCGGCGGCCCAGAGTCTCCGCGTGGACTTATTGATGTATTTGACGCAATTGAGTTGGTTCCGCCGCATTTCAGTCCCTGTCCGCTTGCCTTTGATTTGGGTCAAGTCCTTGAGATGCCCCCGCTCCCGGCGAAGCGACTGCATCGCGTCCGCTTGGATACAAAGTCGAGCAACGTCGCGGCGAAGCTGGAACATCTTCTTTGCACAGGCGCGGTACATTAGAGGCCACGACGACCATCTCATTGGAGATACGGTCCACTTGAGTTCGTCTGCGATGGAAAACCCACATGCTTGGCGGATAGCGATGGCCGTGGACTGGTACATCGTCCGCAGGAATCCTTGATGCTCGTTGCAATCTGTGTCCGCCGTGAGCGTGAAAAGGTCTGTCTTGAACATGCGCTCCCACACAAAAGGGTGCTCTAGTGTATCGCATGTCGCCTTGCACGCTCCTCGCAGCCGGAAGAGGTCGCATGCGTCGAGGAACGCGTACACGTGGAAGCGGCACGCCTGGGGCAACCGATCGACCATTCGAAACGGCAAGTCCCACGTAAAAGAGACTCGACAGTTTTAAATAATAGTAGATTGGAATTGAATGGAGTGTCGATGAAATTTTGGACCGCCAACCAATTTAAAACCCCTTAAAAAGCATGTCAAGCGGTGAGCCCGGACACCTCCATACAGCACAAGCGTTCGACATGATTTAAAATGCATTTCAAATGACCTCTCACCAACGTTGTCGTGGCCTTATATTCTTACACAATCGAGCGTTCGGTATGCTGTTCGGGATGCGTTTAAAACGTGTTTCAAACTTCGTTTCATACGGTCCTGCTAAATTTGCCTCGCGCCGTTTCACCCCGCGTTCGTTTCGCCCGTTAAGTCTATATTTCCCCGTCTGGTGGCACCCCCGGCGACGGATGAGCGGCCGAAGCAACACGAGCGGGTACTCTTCGAGGATGGATAACCCTCCCAAGCACTCGGAGGCCGTCTCTCCGTCGAGAAAACGCCGCCTCAATCCCCAGCACTCGGTCACGCGGCGGCAGTCCATCCACGACCTTGTCACCATGACTGTCGTTCCCCAACTCGAGCACATCAAGGACCCGCGATCGAGAGGCCTCCTCTTCCTCGTCCGAAACAGCGGTGAGTCCAGACGGGACTTTACCCTGCGCAACCTCGAGCAGTCGAATGCTGGACACCTCGTCGACATGTTCATGGTGTTTCTCAGCCTCTTCTGGGTCGCAGTCTACATCTACGTCAACAAAAACGTGGCCAACCCGAAGCTCCCCACCGAGGTGCAAGGTACGTTTCCCTGCCGCCGTTGCATGATGCTTCCGTCCGCGCATTCCGTCGGCAAGACACTAACGGTCGCGGTTTACCCGTCCATGGGTATGTTTTGTAGTCCTCAGCCACACGCTTGGCGTAGTCTTCCTCCTCGAGTACGTTTACACAATGCGTTGTTGATTCTCCCGTCGTGGAATCTCATCGTGTGGGGTGTTTTTGGATGCAGCTACTTGGTCAGGCTGTACGCGTCCCCGCTTCGAGTGAGCCACTTTTGGAGCTTCTTTCCGCTCGTCGATTTCATCTCGCTCGTGCCGATGGTGATTGAGATTGTCGTCGGAAACGACGTGCTCACACACATCAGCAAGCAAACGGACTCGCTGCGACAAGTCGCGTCCATGCTCCAGGCAGCCAAGACGATCCGCATTCTCCGCGCGTACCGCGCGCTCAAGTTTATCAAGAGCACTGTGAACCGCCAAATGGCCGCGACGGGGCTCACCGTTGTGTGCATTATCATTGCCATGGCCGGCATCCTTCAAATCCTCGACCAGTGCTCCCCCGCTTGCGACAACTTTATGTTTTGCTCGTCCGACTTTTCCGCGTACGAGTGCCCGCGCAGCGCGGCGTGTTACGAGGCCGACGTCGTGCACAATTGCTGCAAGTGCCAAGAGCTGTCGTTCTTTGACTGGACGTACTTTGTCGTGGTGTCGATATCGACGTTGGGGTACGGCGACATTTCGCCGCGCGGCCGCCTCGCGCGCCTCGCCACGTCCACGATGATGCTCATGACGTTTGTGCTTGTACCGATTCAAATCAACCGCCTCGTCGCGACGATCTCGACCCATTCGGGGTACACGTCGTCGTACAAGGAGCACCGAACGCACACGCACGGGATCATTACGGCCGGCGGCGACATCTCGGCCGGGACGCTCGCCAACTTTTTGCGGCAGTTTTTCCACCCGAACAACCCCAACTGGAACGAAAAGATTGTGATTTTGCACCCGACCGCGCCGTCCAACGACGTCCAGCGCGTGATCCACATGCACGAGCCACGCGTGCAGTACATTGTCGGGTCGGCCATGAATGACCTCGACCTCGATCGCGCGATGATCTCCAAGGCCGCGGTCTGCTACGTGCTCGTGAACAAGGACACGTCGCGTCCGAGCAACGAAGACCAAAGCTGCACGCTGCTCACGGCAGCATTTCGAGGGATGAATGCGGCCGTCCCGGTGTACAGCCAAGTGTTTATGAGCCAGAACATCAGCCACTGCGTCTTGTCCGGCGCGACCGGCGTCATTTGCGTCGAGAAGCTCAAGCTCGGCGTCCTCGGGCTCAACTGCACCGTGTGGGGCCTCTCGACGCTGCTGTCCAACCTCCTCGACACCGTGTCACCGTCCGTCACCCAGCTGTACCCCAAGGACTCATGGGAGACTGCGTACTTGAAAGGTACGGGCCACCGCGTCACCGCCACGTCATGTCGTCATGCGGGCACGATGAGCAGGGTACCTCCACGAAATCCACCGCGTGGACATTCCTCGGTCGTTTTCGGGGCTCACATACCGCGACCTCATTTTGTTTTTGTTTGGGACGCTCCAAGTCATCCCGATCGCGATGCTCACGGTACCGATCGATCGATCTGGTGGGTGTTGTTCATGTGGCGGCGCGTTTCCAGGACAAAGGCGTGTCGTTCGCCCCGATGGACTTTAAACTGGGCGCGACAGCCGACCCGACCATTTGCTGCACGCTGTACATCCTGGCGCCGTACGTGACGGTGGCCGACCAGATCGCCGAGTACCCCCTCGAGCAAATTCGGTTGTTTCGACAGACGCTGCGCAAGCAAGAGCGGCATGTCGCCGAGCGAAACGAAGCCGCGGCGCTCGAAAGTGCCGCGGCGGTGCCGCCCCCATCTGTGCCGTCCGCGCCGCTGCATGTTCCGAACGGGCATGACGAAGACGCGACCAAGGCGTCGACCGCGTCGACGGCGTTTTCCGCCCTCGCCAAGGGCCTCCACGGCGTCAAGCACGCATTTGGTCAAGCCTCGCCCTACAAAGAGTTTATGGTACGGCGGCGGCGGCCCATCGCTTGTCGGGTCCTGACATGCCCCTCCACTAGGCCAAACTGTTGCCAGAACAACTCAACGACCACGTTGTCATCGTGGGGCTTCCCGCGTCGCTCGGCGACATCATCGTGCCGCTGCGGCAATTCAATGCCCGCAACACGTGCGGCAAGGCGCAAGCAATTGTGTTCATTGCGCCATTTGCCATGTCGGAGCACCACTACCACAGCATAGGCGACAGCACAGCCGTCTACTTTGTCCAGGGATCGCCCCTCAGCTCGTTTGACCTCCACCGCATCCACATCGACACGGCGTCCGCCATCATTATCCTCGCCGGCTCCGGCTCCAAGCGCAAGTACATTGACGAAAACATGGTCGACGCCGATGCGATCACGACCGTGCGGTACATCAACGAGGCGTGTTCCGGGTCGAAGCCGCCCAACTTGATCGTGGAGCTCGTCAAAGCGACCAACGTCAAGTTTATGAGTTCGATTGTCAAGCGCCACATGAACCACCACCGCCGACGCCACAGCGACGGCCGTCATACTCGCGTGGTCGGGACCGTCACCGCGCACAAGTACATGCCAACCGACGCCGCGCCGCCGCCGCGACCAGGAGATGGAGGACCGACCCCAAACAAGGTCGAGAACGAAGACAAGATCGACGTCGAGCACATTTGCGAGCCGTCGTATGCCTCGGGTAAGACGCGGCTGGTCGCGCGTGTGTTCTCGACTTCACATCTTGGGCAGGTCGCGTGTACGTGAGCGGGATGATCGATTCCCTCATGAGCGAATGCTATCAAAAGCCCAACATCATCCCGGCCATCAACTTGCTCATGTTTGGCAGTCCAACCGATCCAGAGTACGTCGTCGTTGTCGTCCATGTGTTGGGATGCCGTCACGGACGCGGCGGTAGCGCCCAGCGCTTGTTTCAAGTCCGCACGCCCAAGTCGCTGCATGGCAAGACATTTGGCGAGTGTTTTCGCAAAGTGCTGGCGCTCGTACGTCGCTGCGTCGCTCTCGTCGTTTGATCGAGTGTCGTCGAGTAGAACTTGATTTGCATCGGGTGTTTACACTCGAGCACGGACAAGACGCCGCCATACGTCCACACAAACCCGCCCGCCGACATGATCATCTACCAAACGGACTACATCTACGTCATCGGCAAGCCATGCAGCGACCTCCCGCTGTAGCGTCTTGGGTCTTTATTCCCAAGTCGACCCAACGGCGCGATGGTGGGGCACATGGACGTAGCGCAGGCGATCCATATACGAACGGAACGCAGCTTCGAGATGAACGTGCTCGATCGATACTTCCAAGTGAAACACGCTTGCACGAACCATGCCATGCAAGCACAGAAACAAACTTCCGAGATGGAGAATCGACGCCACGATGCTGTACGAGCTATCCAGCGCATATCATGTCGGATGAAAGCGATAACGAGATGCCCTCACCAGTCGGTCATGGCCATCGCACACGCCATCGAGTTGAATATGGCCAACTTGGTGGATGGCGCGCTAGACGACGACGAATCGCACACGTTGGGTGAACACATGATGGAGATCTCGCAACCTCCATCGGGGATTGCAGCAGGATTGCATGAGACTGTAGCGGAACGAAGCATGGACGAGCGTGTGGAAGACGAGGATCACGGCCATCATGCACACCAACGACATCTACGCTTGCATTGAATGAGGAATTGCCAAGGGGGAGGACGAACCGACCATAATGGACACGCGGCGGCGTGGGAAGAACGCGAGGAGGTGTCCCAACACCATGAGGACGATGCATGCGATTGGAGTTACCATGAGAAGCGGCGGGTATGGGCGCGCGATGGCATTGACAGCAACATCCACGTACAAAAGCATTGCAATTCCCTAGACAGCGCGCCCCACATACCATCATGCGGACATCAGGTTGCCATAGTCCCCTTACAATGCATAGCCACCAATTTCTCATGCTGTTATGTTCCATGGCGCGGGACTGGACTCCAGGGATTGTGCTCCATGCCGGCTTCCCCCGACGGCGGCGGCTTTTACGTCGAGTGTCCTTTTACATTTTATAACTTGATGGCACCGTACCTCCTTAAATCGATATATTCAGGTTGAATTGCACCTTGGCGGAAATTCACGTCGTCGTCCTCCTATGAGCGCAACCACGGAGTCCGTGGCGAGGTACACGAGGACTGCCGTCGAGTAGGATCCTTCAATGGATGCTTCTTTAGGAAGGTTGAGGAGCTTCACGAACAAGTGGCGAGCCTAAAGTGCCAGATCGTCGAGGCAGTTCGCATATTCAACGGGTCGAGTGCAAATGCGGCGTCGACCATGTCGATTGACGAAGCGATGCAGTTTGCGTCCAAGTGGTCGCGGCAAGGGGGAGGTCCGAGCGAAGTACAGATTCGTTTGCACGAGCTTGAAGCCGTCTTGTCCGACACCGTCGCCCAGTTGCAACCGGAAGCGGCGACCCACCACCACAACCAAGTGGGTCGTTCACCCCACGTCCCATCCTTCGCTCATGCTTTCTTCCACCCGTCCACTCTAGCTACAAATGTCGATTGCGACCAAAACTCGACTGCAAGCTCAAATCCAACAATCGCGCGAGATGCTCGACCTGCTCGACGTGCTGTCCCAATTCGACATGCTCTTTCAACACTTTGACACGCAGATCGACCAGAACGCGTATGATGTTGCCGCTGCCGACGTCGCGTCCATGGAGCGTCTCCTTCACGACATCCGTGCCTCGTCGTCGTTGCATGTCATGGACATGATGCGGACTCAAACCCGCATGCGACAGAATCAACTGCATTTTGCCCTCGACGCCAAAGTCGATGCGGTGTGTGCAGTCAGCCCCAAGAAACTCGAACTCTTTCCCGCGCACGACTTGTGGCCATCGCTGGAGGTAGCCCATCGACTGTCTTTCCACCTCGACGCATTGGCGTCGTCGATCCATCGGCACATCTTGGTGCCTATCCTGACCGACGCCAACGTCGACCCTCAGATCCACTCCAACACGCTCGCGTTGTTGACAAAACCTGCTTTGTCCACAGCAAATCCTGCCGCGGTGCCGTTGTTTGCCAAGGCTCTGCAGCACGTCCTGTCAGTGTTTCAGTTTATTCACGCGCACTGGCCAGACCAAGCGTCGCTCGGCAACGTGCTCTGGAACGCACATGCCGAAGCGCCGTTGCTAGCGCTGTTTGTGCAATCGTTGCCGTCGTCGCTCGCGGACCTGGCGGCGTTCAAAGCCGCCGTTCAACCCGTCGTAAGTAGATGCCGGTCCTCGTGGTGGCATGGCACGCGTGCATGTCGAGCTCGGATGACTTGTTGCTGACATTTTTCGTCACGACGTGTGGCTGTGTAGATGCATGGCTTCGATGCGTCCATGCACACGATCGGGTGGACCGCCTCGTCGGCCCACTTCCTGGACCATCTCGACTCGTACGCGCGCATGGTTGTAATCTGTGTCCTGATGACGTGGCCATAGGCGGTATGCCGCGGAGAAGCGCGAGCGGGTCCTCGTCGCCGTTCGCCACTCGATGCACAAGGACTACATGGACTCAGTCGTTGTGTCGACAACCGACCACCACTCGACACTCTCGAGTGGCAAGAAAAAAGGCTCGACGGATGCTGTCGTTCATCCCGACCAGCCGTCCGAGCTGCGCGTGTCGCTCTGTGCATCCAAGTTGTGGACGCAGGTTGATCTTTGTCGTGTATCCAAGCGTTCAACCCGTGTGCGCGATGCTGTGTAGGTGGAGTCGCTGCTGGACGAGGCATCGCTCGACAACGACGCGTCCAAGGACGTGTCGTTGGCGCTGTTTCACACGGCGCGCGACGCGATCTTTTTGTTTCGCATGGGGCTCGCCAGTCTGCACAAAGAAGCGCTGGTGCAGGATCCGCGGGTCGTCATGCTCGTGCACAACGATTGCATCTTGCTCACGCACCACATGCTCACGTGCATGTACCGTCGCAAGTCGTCGCTGCCCCGTGGCGTCGGCCTCATCGATATGGTCCCTGACGTCCGCGACTTTGGCGAACACGTCGTGATGCACTTTGCCAAGACGCAAAGCGACAAGATGCTGGCGTCGCTGCACACGTGCCCGGTACGACCGTTCGATGTTCACGTGCATGACGCGATGGCCGTCGACTAGCCATGGAGCGACATGCTCGACGATGCCGCGTTCAACCAAGCCGAAACGTGCTTGAAAGTCGTGTTGTTCCAACTGCAGCGCATCGCGCAGCACTGGAACGACGACGGCCTCGACGTGTCTGCGACCGTGCTCGGCCGAATGCTGCGTCCGCTGCTGCACCACCTCATGCAGTCCCTCCTCCATGCGACGGCGGCCGCCGGACCGATGGACAAAGCGATCCACAGCACACACCATCTCTTTCAACTGTGGGTCGACGCCACCACGGACGGATCGATCTTTGCCTCGCCGTCCGTCGCCGATAAACATACGCCCAACTTGGCCAAGTTTCGCCTCCTCACGCAGCTCATGGTAACCGATTCGTGGCACGAAGATATGATGGCATGACACGAGATTGCAGGAAGACAGCGTCGAGAATGTCCAGGACAAGTGGGTGTCGGGAGCGCTAAAGGACGTGGGCGCGGCAGACGTGGCGGCCTTTCTCAAGTACGGCAACCCACCGCGGATGCCGGTGTTGTGCCAGGCTTGACGTGAAAGGTGTAGGCTGGTATTCCCCGACACTCCCCAGCGCGCAAAAGCCCTCGCCGCGATCTCAAAGTTGAAGTAGAGCTCGTCCTAGGAGCGCCGTCGAGGTGGTGAAGACGACACTGGGCTCTGTCCGAAACGGTACAAGGGAATGGTAGGCATGGTTTTACACAACTTGTGAGCTTTCTGCGGCGTGGACGGTGTCGTTGGTCCGGTGTTGGTGCTTTTGCCTCTCGACGGCATATTTAGCCAGTGCCGACGGCAACGACGAAGCGAAACCGTAGACAAAAATGCCTGAAAACACCAGCAGCAGCACTTGATTGCGCACTCGCCGCGCGGCTTTGGCGGGATCCCGCAGGTGTTCGGTGGAGGCATGCAAACGCTCTGTCGTGTGCTTCAACGCGGCCGACGACGACTCGACCAACGCACTGCCGGCATCGACCGCTTTCTTGGTCGTATGGCGATGGACATACGCAGCCGATTCCTTTGCCCTAGTCTTGACGCTGTCAGTCGTGGCCTGCACAACTTGTGCGCTCTTTGTCCCAACGCCGACGATCGCTTGCTGTACCGCTTGCACGCCTTTCGAGGCAACGTGTGTCGTAGCATTCTGTAGGGCTTGGACGCGTTTCGTCGTAGCTTCCACAGCTACCTTTTGCACTGCTTGAGCGCCTTGGTGAGATTTGTCCTGGATGTACTTTGCGCCATGCGAGGTCGCGTCCACGATCGACCGTTGAGCCGCGTCCAGTCCGCGGCGCGCCACATCCATCACTTGTGTCTTTCCCAGTTGTGACGTTGCATCCGCAAGGGCTTTTCGATCGGGCACCTTGGATGATGTTGATACGTTGGCGGACGAACAAGAACGGCTTACCACGCGCTTCAACGTCGTCCACAGTCTGTCCGTTGTCGGCGAGTCCACAGGTGGGGAAGTCGTCGGTGCAGACGTCTGTGGTTTGTGGGCATTCCCGTTCTTTCCTACGGGGCTCTAGGCGGGATGTGAAGATGGACCTTTCATGATGCACAACGATGGGTACCGTCGATGCCTTCCACTTGTCGGCAAGTGCCTTGAACATCGCCTAGTCACTATTAAAATTTGACCTTTTCTGTCACTAAAAATATTGCGTTTGAAATCCGGTTGATCCGGTTGGTCCTGGGAATGCAAGCATTACAGAGTCCAAGCAGTGGGTTTACGTGCCACCGACAAGCAGTGGGCTTACGTGCCACCGATGCCAGCATTGCACGCCGTCGAAGAACACTGCATGGCATACCCGCTGCCTGACGAAGAAGCAGGCATTGCCACGGGCACTGTGACGATCGACGGGCATTATCCGGATCAGTCACCTATGAGTGCGAGAGAAAATATGTAGTGACCATTTTGCATCACAATATTGGCCGGCCAATTACTGACCACCTTCATGGAATGGAAAAGAATATATAAATATGTACGAGATGTTGTAGAAATAGAAATATACATATCAAATATGTGCGGTTGCATAGTATTGCCGTCGACTGAATATTTCGACAATATATTTTGAAAGCCTCTTAGAATGCATATTGTTGTGTAAATTTATATCTGGATTTGGCCAATCAAACGGGTTCTTTTGAACTTTCAAAACTGGATGCCGCCGCCGCATGACCTCCAGGCGGAATCGCTCCGCCATGGCAGCGTACGGTATGTGCTGGAAGTCGCTCCATCGATGCTGCGGGAGAGCGACGTCATCAGCGACATCTTGATCGAGCGCATTCGGTCCCAGGAAGACTCGGAAGAAGCAGTGAACGCGATATTACGGCTCATGAGTCTACACCTTCAATCCAACGCCCACATCACGGAACAGCTAGTCGAGCTGCTCTTCACGTCCGACTACCGCCTGTGCATCATCAACCATCTTCCCAAGGTGCCGTCGTCTTGATCTCATGTGCTCGTTGTCGTTTTACCCACCCGCACGACGCTAGTTGACATACCAGTCCCACGAGTGCACTGCAATGGTACTCGATGCCTACCGCGACCTGTTGGAGTCAGACAGTACGCTCGTGGTACCCATCTTGGGATCCTTAGCAGATATGCCGCTCACCCCAGATCAACAGAACGCTGTGGTGACCATGACTCAAGTACGACATCGTCATATCCCGCCAAATTCCAACCTCTCGTGCTCGTAGACGTTGATGCTAAGCATTGACGAAGTCGACATTCCCGTAGTTGTTCGCGGGATGCTTGCCATGATTACATCTTCCAATGGAGACACCCTCATCGGAAGCATTCGCGAGCAGTGTCTGGACTTGAATACACACACGCTACTCCTTGTCGTCGAGGTCATGCCCCCTTTGTCAGCTATCCCGAGTTGCTCACATGTATGTTTCAGGTCATGGGCCCATTCTTGCGCCAAGGATCGCCGTCACTCAAGTACATTCTCCGCGCCATGCGCAACGCCGACAAGCTCACGCCTATCGACGGTATCTGGCTCGTCCTCCTCCACGCACAAGATCCAATCGTGAGTCGTCGATTCTCTTCCGCCCTCTCACGTCTCTCTCTCTCTCGAAACAGACAGCCTGGCATGCCTTGACACGTCTGGGCCGCAAGTGCACCCAGACATGGCTGGAATCGACCGCTGACCTTGCCATTCCAGCATCCCTCGTCCATCCGTTTATCCAGTTTTGTTTGCTCGTCGTCCACAGCGGATTTGCCAAGCCAACGCTGGCATCGCTCAGACCGTATCTCGTCGTCTCCGGCGTACGAACCGTCGCGTACGTCATGGCTCACACCCCCCCAGGGTCTTCCGTCCAGCACGAAGCCCTTGCGACTCTACTCACATTGACCACGCAAAGCCACAAGTTCACCTCGTACCGCGACAACGTATTTTTTTGACCTGAATGGATCGAATAGGTCGACAAAACAGCAGGAGCTCCGATGGCACGTCCCTCGCGCTGCGGCGATCTGCATCGCTGACGCCGTTGCATGCCTTCCCCCAGCCTCAGGCCACGTCATCCTTGACACGATCTACATTTTGAGTGCGGCCAACGACGTCGCGTTTCTCCACGTTGTGGACACACTCTGCTTCACGCTGGTCCAACTCGTGGCGCGCGATCCGTCCGCGCTGTACGCGCTGGTCCTGCTGACCATACAAAAGCACATCCTTGGCCACCACACGACCTTTCAGATCACGGCCATGCTCCTGGCGTCGCATTTGTCGTACGCCAACCAACTCGAGCCTCTCGATGCCCGCGCCATCACGGCGTGGATGCATCGGCTCTTCCACACCGCCCCACTCCAGGTAGAATTCGTCCGTCTGCGACGATCCCAGTCACAATCAACGTTGTTGCAGATGGTGTCGTTTATCTGTGCCTACTTGAGCGTGCAACAAGACAACCGCGAGGCGGACGAAGCAATCGGCCCGCTGCACAAGCGCAGCAGTGGCCTGGCTCTGCTTGTCCCGGCCCTCTTTCGTCGAGGCATTGTGAGTGGCACTCCGTTGACAAAAATGTCGACGTTCTCGGCCCAGAGTTTCCGTGTCGATGTGACTCGATTCGTGGCGACGCATGTGTCCGACAGCGGCGACGTCAAGGTCGAAGCGCTCCATGCTCTGCTCGACATGGTGCATTGCGTTGTGGTGCATGCCATGCGTGAGGCCGAGACGGATGCAGACAAGTTGATGTCGTTGGAAAAGTTCCTGCCTCCGGACGTCTCGATCGACTCGAGGGATGGAGGAGCGAGACCAACGAGTCCAGAGGACGACGTTGGCACGCGTCAATGCCTCCTCATGGTCGCCATTGGCGTCTGCAACGGTCTGCACCCCCACGTCACTCTAAGCCCCCACGCAGATGACCGCAACACACCGCTGTTCACCAAGCTCCAAACTCAGTTTCTTGTGGCGTACGCGTTAGCGACTGCGCTGGACATGACGTCGACGTTGGTTGTTCTGAGCCATCAAGCGGTGCTCGACCTAACGCATGTCGTGCCATATCCAGCCATCCATGTGCTGCACCTCATGCTGCAGCACCGTCCTGCCCACACTGCCATGGCGTCGCCACACTCGACGCACAAGCCATCCGTTCACAACGACAACGACGACCACCACCACTGGCAGCTCTACGGCACATATACCAACCTCCACGACCATGTGGACATGTACTTGCCGCACTTGCCGCACTGGATGGCGCTCGTCCTCACATATGGCCACCACGAGCACCAGCCGACACACGCCGAGACACTTGTTCAACTGTACACGATTCTTCGGCAGTTGCTGCTGGACTTTCCCGAGCACACGGACGCGATTTTGGCGGCGCTGTCGTCGCGCATCGACGCGTCGGCACGCTCGACGGTATTTGAATGGCTCCATGAACAAGCCACCGAACAGCTTCAGGATGCTCAAGCGATCGTGGTTGTCCTGGATTTGCAAGTGGCGGTCGCAGGACCGTCGACGGCGCTGCGCCACGAAACAGCGCGCCTCGCCCACTCTGTCGCAAAGCATGTTTTTCCCGACGCCGCCCTCGACTTGGCCACGTGGAAACCACACATCAGTCGACCGATCGCAGCGACGACCGCACTCCATCCGACTCCAGTGTCGCTCGACCTTCCGCCGTCGACGAACTCCCTCGCGAGCTCCACGTACTATATCCATCACGCAGTTGTGACGGCGTACGCGCTGCACCCGACCCCAACGGTCTTCCTCAAAGAGATCCTGGACGCGCTGTGCGACATGATCGAGACCCCGGACCGTTGCCATCCCACGTACAGAAGTCTCACGCGCCACACGTTTCGGCTGCTGCTGACCACACATTGGCAGTGTCTGCTGCACCACGTCCCATCGCACGTACTCATCCGCATCGGGGAGCACGGCGACGACGCCTCGGTCCACGAGAAGAACCCGTTTGCACACGTTGTCATGGGGTTTTCGCTCGTCGCAGACAGCTTTGCCGCGGTCCCCAAGGCCATTCAAGCGAATGTCGATGTCGCGCTCGCGCCAAAGACGTACGTTTTTACAGTCCCATGCTGGATCTGGTCATGTGGAACGGACTTGAGAGTGTCGTGTGGGTGTTTATGTGTGGCGACAGGATCGGGCTCATGCTGAAAGCGTGCCAAGTCGTGTGCGAGCAAATGGTGAAAGGCGTTGACCGATGCCTCAAGTGGCGCCAGACGACTGCTTTGGACAATCCGAACGGGGATGTGCGCCACATGAGCCCGGTGCTCCTCCAGATGGACCTGGCGCTGGCCGAAATGGAAAAGTATGTGGTTACGGTGCAGCACCTGGCGCTGCATCAGTGGAAGGCGGCGGCAAAGCCAGACAAGTCGAAGCTACAGAAGCTCGTGGACCATCCGTCCAAAAAATCCACCACCCCGGCTTTGCCCGCCGGACAAGTGAAGGTACACATGGCGTACGTGCGCGCCGACTCTGACGAGAATTCCATGGCTGTAGTTCATCCCGCAAGTGCTGCGGTGGATTCAACGGACACAGCTCTCCCTCGCCAAGACGCAGTACGTCACGGATGCGTTCCGTTTAGAGCACATTGACGGATCGTGTGGCTGTGGTCGTAGACAACAGTATTCGATCCCGGTGGGGTCGGATCTTGACTTGGCGGACATGGTCGTGTGGCCCCGCGGCGGCTACGACTGGGAATCGGGTCGGGATCGTGGAGCGATGTCCGACAGATGGAGACACATGACCACATACGAATACGACGAGGAAGAGAAGGAAGAGGTCGAGGAACACGACGGGCAAGACGACAACGGGCAAGACGACGATGCCAACGACTACGGCGACCTGGATGGATTTTTCGCGTCCGTCACTCGAAAGACAACTGTCCAAGCGCTGCAAACGCCGCAAAAAGAGAAGAGGACCTCTGACTTGCACGACAACGACGCGTTCGGGTTTCCTTCCATCGTTGTCGACTTCAAAGCCACCAAGAGAAGGACAACGAAGCCGTCTGTCGACCCTTAATCAAACGCGATTCCACACACACACTGTGGCATGGATAGGCTGTAGCAGTGTCGAAAGAGCAGCCCCTTGCGACCACGTTTCGACCATGCGGGACTGGGCCGCCGCCAGGAACTCCCTCGCCCGTGTCGTACAAAATATGCAAAAATGGAATCGGTCAAAATATCGCGCGGCCAAGTGTCAAATTCATGCAATGGGATTGGTCTATTCCACCCCATATTGTCGTTGCCCAAGATCGACCAACTTTGACGCGAATGCGCTTTACCGATTGGCTAAAATGTTTTGATGGTCTTTTGAGGAGCCAATCGAATCCATGCTGTATTTTTTAATAGATATTTTTGTTTCCATATTCGTCGTGATGCCGAGATGCCCGCAACGAGTCCAGCGACATGGCGCAAGTTGAGCGCCTCATTCGGCATCGCTGCTGCAGACCATGGCGACGCTGTCACATGACATGGCAGCGCCGCCATACCCTGGGTAGACCTACGTGGGAATGATCGTGGACGTTGGGTGGCCAACCAAACCAGGTCCGTTGCAGTAAAAGTGTGGTGGCAAAACACGTTTTTTCTATTCAACCTGAGTGCGTCGTTCGATCGAATGATGCGAACACTGGATCGCGTGGGTGCGCGCGGAATCTTGGCGTGAGCCCAACAGGGGATCTTTATCGCTTCCTCCCGTCATCAATGCTGCAGGTTGACTACACCCGCACGATCATCACCGACGTCCTCGCCTTCATTCGTCCATCTGAGGCGGAAAGGAGTCCCACACTGTCTGAACACCAGACAGTCGTGCTTCAAGTTCACAACCCGACAGATGGACGCCCCAAACGCAATCACCGTGGGATGCGGAAACGTTGCTGGGCGCTGTGGCAGCGGCTGGCGCACCCACGAGGACTGGCGGCGGCCCCTTGCTTACGTCCGAGCCAGCGACAGTCCCGTCGCCCAGCGGGAGTGAGACGCGAGCTGCCATCGGATGTTATCCGGATGATCGCATCTTTCCGAACGGAAAGGGTCATTTCGAGATTTTGGTGGCAGCGGGCGATGGACGTGGTCCTTGTGCGTGCATCGAAGGCGCAGCAGCTGACCGCGGACAAGAACACGTACAGCTCATGGGGAGCGCCGCAGCTCACGTTCGAAGAGTACTTGGATCGAGAGCATGAGTTGATTGCGACGCCGTTCGCAAAGGAAACGCTGACGGGGTATGTGCTCGTGCCAAAGTCGAATCCGACGACCGATGACATCTTGTGCTACGTCGAAGTATTCAAACGCCCAGTCTGGTACAAGAGCACACGATTGAACGGATACAGCGTTGGGTCCGTGTACACACCTGCGAAGCATCGGAAGAAGGGGTATGCGGCGACCACGCTAAAGCTCATCCAGGAAGGCATGCGTGCGGACCAGCAACAGAATCAACCAAGCGGCACACCCACCATTGTGATTTCCAACTTGTATTCCGACATTGGGCCGAAGTACTACGCATCCAAGGGCTGGACAGTTTATGCGTCCCAGCAGCTCGTGCTCCCCGCCACGCACTCGCTCCCCGCTATTTCGTCTGCACCGTTGCTGGTTCAAGTGGAATCGTTGGACGCTTTGACCCGCGTGTGCCAAGCCGACATCGCTCGCATGCAGTTGCAGACGCAGGCGTCCGCAACCCCTGCCGTGTACTTTGAACTAACGCCGTCGGCCGTGCTGTGGTTCCACACTCGTGCTGCATTTTACGCCCGCACGAAGCGGTCGTTGGCGTCTGCGCCAACGTCGCACGGCGTCTTCATCGCCTCTGGCACGTCGGTATGTGTCAAATTCGTTGTTGTTTCGACGACTAAATCGCTCGCTTGTTGGACCAGATCGATTCGTTCATCGTTTGGACACACGACTTCAAAAACAACGCGCTCACTGTCTTGCGCTGCCACACCGCGTCGCCTGCGATCTTTCCCACTCTGCTGGACGCTGCCCTCCGTGAATCGCGCGCGTGGTCGTTGGCGTCCGTGGTGGTGTGGAACCCGGAAGCTGCGTGGCTCACGGACGACCTCCGCGCGTTGGTTGCATCCCGCGATGACTCGCTACCCTCGCTCCTCGTCACCGAAAATCAAAAAGCTGTCGAGGGGGTCCATTGGCTCGGCAACGATAAGTATGTTTGGGTTTAACTTGCTCAAACGTGACGGCAGTCGTCGTACATTGCGCCGAGTTTTCAACGCAGCGATCGATCGCTTGTGCCACGTATGCCATCGCCCATGGGCTAGCCCGCCCTGGACGATACATGGTTTCGGGTATTGCATGCGAAGCGTCGTGCACAGCGCAGTAGTACGGCTAGGACATATCGCCCCGCGCTCTCGGTGGAAAGTTCTGTGTGGTGCCGGTGTGCCAGCCATGCCTCGACCTGCTGACAAAACCCGACCATGCTTCGCCAGGAGGCATTCGCTTCGGGACGGCGAGCACGTGCCTCTTTGGTCCGCCCATCCTCCGACATTGCATCCACTTGGAATCCTCCTCGTACGAGAGTTGACTTGGGGCTGAGCACACGACGATTTATTTCACCGAGCTCGACTTCCTAGTCCTTCTTGGCATGCTGCTGCCGATACCACATCTCGGCGTATTTCCCGCCGGGGCGGTCGACCAGGTCGAGGTGCGTTCCTCGTTCGATGACGTGGCCCTTGTCCAGCACGACAATCTCGTCCGCGTCTTGGATCGTGCTGAGCCGATGGGCGATGATGACGGTCGTCTTGTGGAGGCCGATGGCCTTGAACTGCTTGACGATTTCGTGCTCGGTCTCCGAGTCGAGCGCAGACGTTGCTTCGTCAAAGAGGAGAATCGGCGCGTCCTTGAGCATGGCGCGGGCAATCGCGACCCGTTGCTTTTCGCCGCCGCTCAGTTTGAGTCCGCGCTCGCCGACGCGGGTATCGTATCCGTCGTGGAATTGCTCGATCGAGTCGTGGATCTGCGCGACCTTGGCGGCATGCACCACGTCGTCGCGAGTCGCGTTCAGGTTGCCGTACCCAATGTTGTACGCGATCGAGTCGTTGAAGAGCACCGTGTCTTGCGGCACAACCGCAATCAAGTGGCGAAGATCGTCGATAGGCACGTCGCGAATGTCGACGCCGTCAACAAGGACTCGGCCGTCGTCGGCATCGTAGAATCGATACAACAAACGGAGAATCGTCGACTTACCCGACCCACTCGACCCCACGACCGCAATCGTGCGGCCCGCCGGCACCGTGAACGACATGCCGTTCAAGATGGGCTGGCCGGGCCGATACCCAAACGAAACGTTGTCGAACGTGATTGTTTTCGGCGTCCGCTCGACGGACGTGGCCGACGTTGTAAACGACGGCGGCGGGATCGACGATGGCACGGCCTGCAGCGCAAACATCGCTTCCATGTCGACGACGCTCTGGCGGACTTCGCGGTACACGGACCCGATAAAGTTGAGCGGAATGCTCAGTTGGAAGAGCAGTCCGTTGACGAGAACGAGGTCGCCGACCGTGAGCGCGCCGTCGGCGATCCCTTGGGTCGCCAGGTACATGACCCCCGTCAACCCGGCCGAGAAAATTGCATTTTGCCCTGCAACATCACGGCTCACACAAGTGTTTCCATGTTGGCTCGGTACGCACCAGCGTTGAGGAAGGAGAGGCTCGTTTGCGTCTTTAGCGACGCGTCCTGGTATTGCTTGATCGTGGCGTCGTACTTGCTGGCTTCGTGCGCTTCGTTGTTGAAGTACTTGACGGTCTCGTAGTTCATGAGGGAGTCGATCACGTGGCCGGACGCTTGGTTCTCCAGTTTGTTCATGCGGCGGCGAATGTCGGTGCGCCACTGCGTCACCACAATCGTAAAGCCCGTGTAAGCCGTCAACGTGCCTAGAAATGCCGTCAAAAACGTGGTCGATTGGCAAAGCGCGCGGTCCATGGCCGTGGAGGAGGACGCAATGCGTGCGTACCCACGGTGATGGCGGCATATTCCCAGCCAAAGTTGTGAGCCATGATACCCGAGACCAACCCAATTTCGAGCGCGGTCGGGACGACGCTGAACAAGAGGCTCCGTAGGACAAAGTCGATGGAGCGACTCCCGCGATCGATGGTGCGAGCCAATGCACCCGTTTGACGGTTCAAGTGGAAGCGCAAGTCGAGTGTGTGCAGGTGCTCAAACACGCGTCGACCCACTTGCCGGATCGTGCCTTGGGCGACTTTGGCGAACACTGCCGCGCGAAGTTCCTGGAACGCGTTGGCTGAGAACCGAGCTAGACCGTACCCGAGAACGAGACTGACGGGGACAGCGACCAGCGCCGCCTCGGACGACGTCGACGGACCCATGACGTCCACGAGCTCCTTGAATAGGAACGGCACTTCGATGTTGATGAGTTTGCCAGCAACAAGCAGTCCCACAGACACGACAACGCGGGATTTCACAGCAAGCGCTTCTTTCGACGTTCCTTCTGGCCACAGGTAGGCCGCAAGCGTCGTTAGAATCTCCTTCGACGAAGTGGCCTTCGGCTCAACGGGGGTCGCCATTTTCTCGACGCTGTCGGTGGACATGCCAGCAAGATGTACATGCCAAGGGCGAGCGACAGGTGAACGCGGCAGAAACCTCGTGGTTCGGTGCATGAATAGGGACGCCTGACGACGGCCCGTGCCGCTTCCGCGGGCCATCGCACCCCACACACGCGCCAACGAGCTCATCCCGCGCGGCGATGTCGAGTTGGAACCTTGAAATGGTGGTGGAAAGGAAGGGCATCGGTCCAGTACATGTCCAAATATGCGTTCCACGACCAACCTACGTCTTTTTATTTAACGCGAATCGAAAGATGTTAAAACGTATGATTTGACAGCGCCAAACACGACTCAAGCATGCGTTGAATTCGTTATACTATTAAAACGCCAGTAGGAGATGCCTGGTGGTCCAACTCGCAAGTTGGTCGTGCGTGATTTCATTGGCGAATGTCTAAACCAATTAAACATGACGTTGATCGTGACGGAGGTGAAGCCGAAGCCGCGGCAGTTCGGCGACCGCTTGGCCTTCCATGCGGTCGTGTTTCCGGCAAAACATGGCGACCGCGTCATGAAATGTCTCGTGAAGACGACGTTGTCTTTGAGAGACATGGGATATGCCCATCTCAAGCGCATGAAGAAGGGTATCGACGCAGGAACGCTCATCGCCCTCGTCTCCGTCGACGCGGATGTCCACGCTGCGGTCGTTGCAGCGCTGCATGACGTCGACGGACTTAAATCATGTAAGGTGGACGTACCAAAGCATGCCGCGCTGTCTAAAGAAGAATTCGCAGAAGGCAACGCCGTCTGGCCCATGGTTTTCCATCTCCATCCCACGACCGCTCCGCTCTCTGCCGAAGACGCCACGACCTTCGTCTCCACAATGCAATCGCTTCTTCAAAGCAACGACACAAGCATTGCCACGACAGATGGCGGATGTGCAGGTTCCCACTGCCTCGTAGTGCACCCCCACGCTCCTTTGGACATCGTAGCGTCGGCCTCGATTCCACCGACGCCATCAAAGAATCCACTCAACCAGCACGCCATCATGCGTGTCCTGGACGCGATTGCCGCGCAGCATGCAGCCCAAGGTCCGTCCAACGCGTATCTGTGCACGGGCCACGACGTGTTTGTCGCCATTGAGCCGTGCGTGATGTGCGCCATGGCGCTCGTCCACAGCCGCGTCGGCCGGGTCATCTACCTTCAGCCGAATCCGACCAGCGGCGCCTTGGGCTCCCGCTACTCTCTTCATGGCCACGAGTCGCTGAACCATCGCTACCGTGTGTTCCATGTCCATCATGACGACGCCAAGTAACTTCGTCGCCATGGCATAAATCCCGGAATGTATATTTTGTAGCAGATATAGATCGGTTAACTTTTCAACACATTCCAGATTTGATTTCTCAAAATGGACGTTTCTTCTCAACGCCAAGCCCCATGGCGATTTGTTCTGCCGTTTGATGGGAAAACGCCCCCTCTACACGGCCATATATCGCAACGGGCAATTCAAAGGTCGGTACAAGTGTACTGACCCGAAGGGGCCTAGCTACGAGGGGAGCGACTTGGGACGTCTCATAGTTCCTCGCAGTGTGTCAGGACACCGTCATGTTTATCTTATACACGACATGTCATAGAGAATCACCTATGTATGTATGTATGTACGTACTGTAGCAAACTCTCCAAAACTACCGTAGATGTTATAATATACAAGATATACACTATCCCATGTTGCCGACATTGTGAAGGTCCATGAACTCGTCCTTCATGGCTTCGAGCATGGGAACGATCTGGTTGAAGCCAGGTCGAAGCTCCTGCTTGCGCTGCCAGCACTCCTTGAGCAGTTTGTCCAGGCAGAGTGGCGTGTCGTCGGGGTTGACAGGGCGCAATGTGCCACATGCGACGCCTACACACAACCCATGACAGGTCGATCCGTCACGAAGGACGTTCCATTACCTTTCATCACTTCGCTCGATCCCATCGACGGGTACGGCTCGGACCACGCCAGCGCCTCCCACACGATGATTGAGAAGCTAAAGACATCGCACGGCGTTCCGTACTTTTCGCCGCGGAGGACCTCGGGCGCGACCCACAGCGGCGACCCGCAGATGCTCATGGTTTTCCCAACCTCGCGGAACTTGGACAGCCCAAAGTCGGCGATCTTGGTGCGCATGGTCTCGTCGAGGAGGATGTTTTGGGACTTGAGGTCGCGGTGAATCACGATGGGGTTGTGGTTGTGCAAGTAGGCAAGGCCGCGGGCCATGTCGAGCGCGATGTTGTAGCACAGCGCGCGGTGGTCCGCGACCGCGGGGCGGGGCTTCTTGTGGTAGTAGTCGAAGAAGCTTCCGTTCACGAGAAGCTCCGTGACAAGGAGCAGGTTGGGTGGATTCGAACACGACCCCATGAAGAGCACAATGTTGGGGTGGTGGAGGCCCTTCATGATCGAACACTCCTTGTGAAACTCGAGCATCGTGTTCTTGGGCACGGCGCCGATCGGGAGCTTCTTGATCGCGACGGGCGTCCCAAAGTACAAGCCAGAGTACACAACGCCGAACACGCCCTTCCCGATGCTGTCGCCGCACACCACGTCCTTCTCCGTGATGAGGAACCCGTCTTCCGGCTCGACTGCATTTGCCAGGACGAGTTTCCTGTCTGGGAAGATAATGTGGTCTTCCCATGCTTCTTCCCCGCAGTATACGACGAGCGCTTGCTGCAGAATCGAGATGATGCCGGCAAACGTCGGTCGGACGTTCGGATTCACGTCCCAGCATTTGTGCATGAGGGCTGGGAGCGTCTGAAGCCCGGCGTGGTCCAGCGGGTCGAGGGGGCTAAAGTCGGTCGGCCGCTTCCCGCTCTGCACAATGAACGGCACCGCGTCGGCCGAGACGTTCTCGAACGGACTCGCCCCACTCAGCGCTTCGTACAAGATGATGCCGAAGCTGTACACGTCCGACTTTTCAGTGTGCTCTTCGCCGTTGAAGACCTCTGGGGCGAGCCACATGGGCGTCCCCACGTACAGCCGCTTGTTTTCCGCGACCGCGTCGTTTCGAAGCGCTTTGAGCTTGCTCAGCCCAAAGTCGCTGACTTTGCAGCGCCAGTCGGCGTCGATGAGGAGGTTGATGGACTTGAGGTCGCGATGGATGAGCGGCGGCGTCGAGCAGTGGAGAAAATTCATGCCACGGGCCGAATCCAGCAGCATGCGAAGCAGCAGCGTCCAGTCGATTTTGAGCTCTTCGGAATGAATCACGCCGTGGACGCTGCCCTTGGGGCAGATCTCCATGACAAGGCCCACGTACTCGGGGTGCAGCATGACACCCATAAACATGACGACATTCGGGTGGCGGAGCTGCGCCATCACCGACGCCTCGGCGCCAAACGACGTCACAATCGCCTGGGTGTCGCCCTGCAGGATAATCTTCTTGACCGCGACGCTTGTTTCCTTCCACCGCGCCGCGTACACGCAGCCAAACGTGCCACTGCCGAGCTCATTGCCGAGCTCGACGTCCTTGGGATCGATGTGGCAGTTGGAGTTGAGGATCCCGGCCTGGCTCCCGACGCCGCCTTCGTTCGAGACGGCGGCGCCGCCGCTAAACCACCCCGTCATCTCCATCGTCATTTGGATCTGGACATTCTCCTTGGCGAGGCGCTCCGTCAAGACAAAGTCCCGTCGCTCTTCGTACTCCCAGTTCCACGACAGGAACGAGAGGAAGATCGAGTACAGAAAGACGGCGGCCGTCGACGTCCCCGGGCTGCTCAAGCTCATGTTGGACACGGCCGAAAAGTGCACCCATGCCATCACGATGAAGCACAATGCACTACAGAGGAGAACAACGCCGGCTTCGAGAAACGTGAGCCCGGTGGACGACGTGATGCCTACACCCATGTCGATGACGCCTGCACCCATACAAAAGAGCCGTGTACCGAGCGAAAAGATGAACTGCACCCACACGTTCTTCTCCGACACGTCCGTGGCCGCGGCCGTCGTGTCGAGGAGCGCACACACTTGCCCGACCAAACAAATGAGGGTCAGCGCGGCGCTGCTGTTGGCACGCTGAAAGTACCGATGGAATACCACCACACTAAACCCGCAGAGGCCAACGATCCCAGGAAAGATGAGCACGAGCGGCACTTCGGTCCAGTGGTTGGTCGTGTCGCGTTTGAGTGTGGCCTGCATGACGACGAGCAGTGGAATCACGCACGCCGTGAAACCCGCGCCGTAGCGGAGACGCGTCCGGTACTTGGCCTGACGCGCCGTGCGAAAACGTTCCTCGAGCTCGCTGTCCGCGAATCGGAGGCTCATAAAGTTGATCTCGAACGCTTCCGTGTGCTTTTTCGACTCGCGCTTGGACACGGGCTTTCGGAAGAAGAGGGACGTGGACTTGGTCGGCGAGTCGGCCTCCGTCGCTTTCGGGGACACTTTAGGCATAGGGCGCCGTCCTGTAGCCATCGAACTCGCCACCCTGCCGCTTCGTCAAGAGCGGGCGGTTGCAAGATAACGAAACAGCACCATGACCACGCCGCGCTATCTTTAGCCGAAAGGGCACATCGGTCAGGATATATGAAATACGGTATCTCCATCATGCGACTCCGCGATTGGTGGAACCCACTGCGCCGGTGACTGTGGTCATATCATGTAGTACATATATACAACGGTATCTGAAACGGCATGATCGCCAGGTGAAACCACAGCAAAAAAGTGGTTGTCTGTTCAGATATATGAAAAACGGAGTTGAAAGCAGCCAATCAGGAGGGCGTTTCGACTCGCCGATCTTTGCGATGATGCTGCGGCACGAGCGGCGGCGAACGCACATGCTGGTGCTAGTTCTGTCGAGCCTGATGGTGTTTGGAAGCACCTACTGCTACGACAACCCCAGCGCACTCAAGTCCCAGCTGCAGCAACGATTCCATCGCCTTCCCAAGGCGCAATACGAGTTCCTCTTTGTACCGACAAGACTCATTCGTCAAACTCGCCTGTTCTCATCACTCCATGTGGATAGAGCTTGTCGTACTCATTGTACTCGACCCCCAACATGGTCTTGCCTTTCTGTGGAGGCTTACTCGTGGATAAATTCGGCGTGAGTTCCGTGGCGCTCGTTCTGTCGCTCTTGCTGCTTGCTGGGCAGGTCGTTGTCGCCATCGGATGCGCCTGGGAGAACTTTTACCTCATTCTGGTACGATCTCGGTTCTATCCTTTCCCATAGCTTCAACGGCGACGGGTCTAGGCCGGTCGCATGCTCTTTGGACTCGGAGGAGAGACCATGTGGGTCGCCCAAAGCACATTCGTTACGTACTGGTTTGACTCGAGTGAATTGGGTGCGCACCTACGTCTGGCAGCACCGCGGCCCTCTGAAACCCCCCTCTAGCGTTTGCCTTTGGCATCAACACTTTGTTTGCAAGGCTGGGCACCGTCATGAATGACAAGTTGAGTCCGTTCATTGCCAACACCTACAGTGTGACGCATGCGTTGTGGGTGGGGGTCGTGTTCTGTGGGTTCTCGTTGGCCTGCACCTACGTCCTCGTCCGAGTGGACGCCATGCACGCACCCATCGCTGAAAAGGCGACAGTACCGTCGACGGCGCGCCAAACTTCGTTCCGGCGCTGGCTCGGCTTGTTTAGGTTCTTCCTTCCGTTCACACTGCGCGCTATTGACCACCACTGTGTTTAGCCCGTCGTTTTGGCTCATTGCACTATCTTACGTTTCGTTTTACGCCGTGGTCGGTCCCTTTAACAACGTTGCGAGCTCTGTGCTGTTGGAGCGCGATTACTTCCAGCAGCCCCCACCGCTCTGCCAGCGCTGCGGTCTTGGCTACTACACAACATACTGTGACGCGATTTCGCCCCACTGCCCCGCCGTGCCCCCGTTTGCGTGGCCTCTGCCGCTTCTGTCCAAGAACTGCTCGATCGCGTCGGCCTTTGACCAGTTCCGGTGCTCCAAGTCCCCGCCCTACATCCAGGACGAAGACATCAACTGCGACGACCTGTCGTGGCGAGAAGGTCCGTTTACGCACAAGTACTGCGCCACCAAGAGTTTGGCGGAGGTCACTGCAACGGAAGCGATGAGCGTGATGCCGCTCATCGTGGCCATGGTGGCTCCGCTGAGCGGCACCATTGTGGATGCAGTCGGGTTGAGGCTATTGCTCGCGTTGTTCGCCGACGTGCTGCTCTTGACGGCGCACATGGCTCTCACATTCACCAAAATCAATGCACATGGCGTGCTCGCAGGCCTCGGCATCGGCGCCTGTTTCTTTTCATCGACGATGTGGCCATGCATTCCATGTGAGTCAGCGCTCGCTTGGACCGCTCACGACGTCCATCGCCTGTAGATGTTGTGGACCCGACCGTGGTCGGCACTGCCTTTGGCGCCATCACGGCGTTCTCCGTACGCGCGTCCATCGGCGCACATTTGCGTCCTGACTACTACTCGTGTATAGAACTGCGGCCTCGCCGTCGTGCCGGTGCTCGTCGCCGCGGTTTTCAACGCGTACAACTCGTACATTCCCCACGTCGAGGTCGTGTTCATGGGGTGCGCAGCCGCCACGCTCGTCCTGGGGCTATGTCTCAATTGCGTCGACATCGCGCGTGGCCACGTCTTGAATCGAAAGGTTCTGCGCGCATGGCAGAGTCCGCTGCGGCCAGCCACGTGCCGCCAACGCATCGACCTGTCGGACCAACCCTTGCTAGCCGACGACGACGACGATGGCACGTTTTAAATGACCACAAACAAACACATCGCCATGACGGTGTATTCCATCGCCGCGCCATGTGACGATATCGTGGTTTCAACTCATGTCGTGGGGTCGTGGCGGCGAGAGCGGGGCGACGAACGTGCCACGTCATGTACGATGTCACTTCCACTCGGGCTTGGCGCGCCGCTGTCCGTGCGCGTGCTTTGCCTTGAGAGCCTTGGTCAGCTCCATCGATTTCGCAATGCGCTACAACGACTATCGATCATCGATCGTGTGCATCCCGAACGCGATACCGAGATGTAGGTCGGGACATCGATCGTGTGCGGTTTGAATGTGCACTCGCTAAACTCTTGGACCTCCTGCTCCTGCAGCGCCTTGCGCTGCTTCTCGTACAGCTTGAGTGTGTGTTCTTGCAGACGCTACGTGCGTCCGCCACGTCATGTCGTTGATCCACTAAAAATGTAGCCACGACATGGTCGTACTTGGACATAAGTTTCCGGGCTCGACAGCACTTTGAGTTTGCTCTCGACGTGGGGAATCGTCGACGGATTCACGGCGGGCTTGAACGTGAGCTGGGACATTTCGTGCTGCTCCATCTACGAAATTTGGATGAGATGCCGTCGAACGAGTGGACGGTACTCGCAGCTTCATGAGGCGCTGGGATGTCTCTCGTCGGAGCAAGTCGCCACGGCTGAGCTCGGTGACGCTCCGTGCAGCGCGGCTCGCGCTCACGTCGTTGATCTTGGGCTTGAATGTGCACTGCGGATCCTGGCCGGGCATGACGACGCCTCCTCGTGGACGATCATCGACATCACCTGCAGCTTGATCGATCGATTCTTGAGCTTGTCATGTTCTTTTCGCAGCGCATACTTGGCGACCCGCTCGATAAAGTCGCCTTTCCGCCCTTGCTGCATGATGTCGTTGGACTTTTTATTGATTGCGGGTTTGAACTCGAACGTGTGGTGTGTCCGCGCCTGGCCGACGGTCAGCATGCCCTTGTCGAGCCCGACGTACTGCGTCAAGTCGGCGCTGGCGCTCCCGTTCCTGCGCCACCTGCCGCCGCATGAATTCGTTGAACCGGCGTTTTCGGTCGCTTCGATCGCCCACCGACCCCGCCGACGTCGGTCTCGATCCTTCGTTCTGTTGCCACGCATCAATACTCGACACCACGCAACGAATCCTCTCGCGCACCTCAGTCTTGCCATCGTCCAGACTCCGCGGCCCTGGTCGGTCATGCGCCATCTTCGCCACGTCGACCAGTTCAAGGCACGTCTCGGGCGTCTCAATGGCTGTCGCAGGCCGGCTACGATGCCGCCACGAAACCAAGTCACCGCTCTCCCGGTCATCACTGCTTTGGACACGTACCTCAGTCGATCAAAAATGTTTTGCTGCGTGTACAGGTGGGCCGACACCATATCTTTTGGAATCGCATTGATCTTGGGATTGAATGTGCACTCGTCCAAGTCTGCTGCGCACTCGTATGGCTCGCACTGTCGTGGCGAGTTCAACGTACCGGTCGTAGGCGCGGATGGCGCGACGAACTTTTTGTTGTACACGGGCTCTTTGTACTTGGACCGGACCGTCGGCATCATGGACGTCCTGTTCACGTGCGGCTTGAATGTGCACTCGCGCTGCTCATCTTGCTCTTCTTGCTCGCGTGCCCGCTGCGCCATCTCGTCCCGCAGCTTCCAGTTGATCACGTCCTGCGGCAAACAACCAAGGCCATGCATGAATACTCGATGCCAACGTGACGGACGTGCCTTGTACAACCGATCGGTGACGGGCTCGGCGTTGCGATGGCGGAGCTTGGACGCGACCTTTTGCGATTTCTACGACGCAAACCGACTGAGCCATGGCGTTCGCGTTGAGCGACCGACGCACGGGATTGATCGTCGGCTGGAATGTGCACTCGGTGAGCTCGACCTCGAGCTGCTCTTGCTTTAGCTAGACACAACAAGACCGCGTGAAACTTGTGTGCGCGACGAGGGGTACCTTTTCCTTGAGATTCTCCTTTTGCTGTTTCCATCGGGATACCCGCACATGGAACGAGTCTTCGTCCATGTAATGCACGTAGCGCGATGTCGCGCCGCCGTCGTCGTCGTTTGGCTGCGACGATCGATCGGTCACCGAGCTGTCCCTGAACATACAAATCATGCATCCACATGAAGCGTGCTACGTACTCGAACGAAGGGCTCTCCTCCATCGGTGAGTACGCAAATGGATCTGTTGGAATGAACTTGGCCGTTGCCACATCAGCCTCGCGTGTTTCGTCGACTCGGGTCGTGCTGGGATGTGAACGCTGCAGCGCCTTCTCGGCAGCCAGTCGACTCGCTAAGAGCTGTTGCACCGACATCAGCTTTGCCTGGTCGTGCGATACCCCCGCGCGGTCTGTGTCGTACAGCGACTGCTGCTGACTTCGCACGGACGATACATCTCCTCGGTCGCGGTTGTCCACCACTGACGCCGCAAACGACGCCCCATTCCGTTTGATACGTACTTCCGCCACCTCGCCGCTGCCGGTTGGTTGAAGCTTGGACAGCTGCATGAAGAGCTCGGCCTTGGAGATTTCTCCCGCTTTGAGCCTCTGCATGAGCTCTGCGATCTCGCGAGTCTTCGAATTCACCGCCGACGCCATCGCCACTTCGACGATGCTGTCCCTTCGCCTAATTTTATCGCGTCGTTTCGCCAACAACATCCGGATAAACGTATCCGGGTAAACAGTGTTGGCACGATCCGTAGAATCGGATGCCGTGACACGGCGCCGGGACGACTTATCGCCACTGTCGCGACGCACGTATGAAGTGCCTCGCCGTGTCAACGGTGCGTAATGCCGCCGCTATTCCCCACGTGGAGTGTCAAGGGTGGTTCTTCTGCAGGTGCATTCTTTTTAACACCTGCGCTGTCAAGTTGTCTGGTCGATCCGTGCATCGGTCCATCAGGTTGTGCTCAATACAATCAACAACCGCGGGGACGCCATCGAACATGGCTGACAAAGCCTCAATGGTGGAATCGCCTGCTTTTTATACCAAGTACGCTCAAAAATGAAGGCATGAGCATCTTTGACTCGACGAGAAATCGCTTGTAGCTTTGCAGTGTCATGGCGCCGTGTCAACCGAAGCTAGCGTCATCATTTGGTGCATGAGGTGTCCCATGGATCTGCATGTGAGCTGAAGCGTCTCCTCCGTCAAACGGCCCTTACTGGCTTGAACCATCTTGAATTGCGCCAAGAGGACTCGGGTTACAACCACCAGCGCGTGCTGCGCGGCGTCCATCTGCCGACCCCCGTTTAACACATGAATACGACTTGGGGCACTCGCGTGTACCTGCTGGCCAGTCTCCTTGATGGCTTGCAACTTGCCCTTGCGTTTCGCTCGTTCGTGCTGTCCGTCGGATGAGTGTCGAGTAGTTGAAGGAAGGGCAGCATACCTTGTGGACGGCCGTGAAGTAGTCCGACTCGAGGTTTTCACGCTGGTGCATTTGAGGCAACTACACATGACGTGTCAACCGAGACCGACATGTCGTGCGTTGTGTCCCCACCAATGCTTCCATTCGCTCAACGTGGTGTCGAAGCTGGGGGAGCACGTGCTGCTCCAACGATGGGCCATACGCCATCGTCTTGCCTTGGATTTGACGCATCATGTCGGCAAATCGAGTGTCCGAACGGTCCATCTTGATCCGTGCATTGCATTCGCCGACATTTAGCATCGCGCCGCCAAGCTCTACCCATCCGTCAAATGTCAGCAACAACTCCACACAAACGTACGGGACACACACTGCGCCAGTTGCTTCAACGATCCTTCCTGAGCCTTCACATGGTGGAGGAGATCCATGTACTTGGCTCTTTCAGTCGCATACTCGTCTTGGTTGAACACGGCCGCGGTCTCTTCGCGAACTTTCCCAACAATATGTCGCTGGGTGAACCTTCGCAGGGCGTCCCGGACACGCGTCGTCACTGGTCGATGGGTCTGCTGCTGCACCACCCTCTCGTGCTCGCTCTCGAGGCGCCGTTCGTCTTGAATCGTCGCCAGCTCCATCGTGGTTCTCTCTCGGCAGATTTGGGAATGCGCCATCGACCGCTTGCACCTCGCGTCGCCACGTTTTCTGCTCCGAACTCCGGATAAACACTCTTAACCGGGTAACCGGATAAAAGGGTGCGCGTTATGCGGATGACCAGGGGTGCAATCTTGGTGTATCTTGCAGCATGCTCGAGAAGGCGGCGACGGCGAAGCGGTGGGTCCTCGTGCTCTCCAGCTTGCTGGTGGTGGGTCTGAGCTACTGCTACGATAACCCAGGTGCGATGAAGTCGCAGCTGCAGCAGCACTTTCACCGCATCCCAAAGTCCAAGTACGAGCTGTTCTTTGTACGTTCCACGCGCCGCTCTCTTGGTTGACGTATTGATTGATGGGTTCATGATGCGCGCCAGTAGAATTTGACGTACAGCCTGTACTCGGTGCCGAACATGGTGCTGCCACTCTTTGGCGGAGTCTTGATCGATCGCGTGGGTGTGCAGACCATGACGATGGTCGTCGCAAGCCTCGTGCTCGTGGGCCAAGTGATCGTTGCTCTCGGGTGTGCTGCGCACAACTTTGACGTCATTCTCGTAAGCTGCTGGCGACGTGACGGTGTCGACAAACGAGTTTGTCGTGCAGGTCGGGCGCATCGTGTTTGGACTTGGTGGGGAGACCATGGGCGTCGCACAAACCAAGTTTCTCGTCACTTGGTTCGACATGTCTGAGCTCGGTGTGTTGTTTCCAAGTCGACCATCTTCATCGTCACCCTCACGCCACCACGTGCCGTAGCGTTTGTGTTTGGGCTGAGCAACAGCTTCTCTACGTTTGCCACCGTGCTCAACTACAAGTGGAGCCCGTGGATAGCCGACCATTATCAAGTGACCACGGCTCTGTGGGTTGGCGCCGGCGTATGCGGTCTGTCGTTCATGGCGGCGCTCTTGTTGATCCAAATCGACAAGAAAATGCACACGACGTCCGAGAAATCGGACAAAGCATCCCTGCGTGACCTCAAACTGTTTGGGTAATGCTCTCGTTCCTTGCAACTTGCTCCACCCAACGGCACCGGCAACCCTCTCTTGGTCGTAGGTGGCTCTACTGGCTCCTGGCTCTGCAAGCTCTGGTGAGTAGCTGCGCAATGAGCTTCAACAACACGGCCACCAGCGTCTTCCTCGAGCGCGATTACTTCCAGCAGCCCCCACCGCTGTGCCAGCGCTGCGGTCTTGGCTACTACACAACATACTGTGACGCGATTTCGCCCCACTGCCCCGCCGTGCCCCCGTTTGCGTGGCCTCTGCCGCTTCTGTCCAAGAACTGCTCGATCGCGACGGCCTTTGACCAGTTCCGGTGCTCCAAGTCCCCGCCCTACATCCAGGACGAAGACATCAACTGCGACGACCTGGCGTGGCGAGAAGGTCCGTTTACGCACAAATACTGCGCCACGAAAAGTTTGGCGGCCGAGACAGCGACGAGTGCTTTGAGCTACAACCCGATGGTTCAAACGGGGCTCGCTCCTTTGGCCGGACGGCTCGTCGACTTGTTTGGGCGGCGACCCGTTGTGAGCCTCATCGCTGAGATCGGCATCGTTGTCGCTCATGCCGCCATCAACTACTCCCACGTCGTTGTGACGGCGCCACTGCTCTTGCTCGGGGTCGGCCAGTGTTTTTTCGTTTCCAGCATGTCGTCGTCGTTTCCCTGTACGTGAAATTGATCTGTCGACAAGTTTGGTAACAAATTGTCTCGATGCAGTGGTTGTGCCGCCGCGAGCGATTGGGACTGCCTACGGCCTCCTGGCCATCGTTGGGGTATGTGTGTGCTCGATCGTCATGGTCGTGACCAAGATGGAATAGAACATGGGCTCGGCCGTGACGCCGCTGGTCGTCGCGGCGCTCTACGGCCATTACGACCGATACATCCCCCATGTCCAAGTTTTGTTTGTGGTTTTTAGCGTCACCAACGCCGTGCTCGGCGTCGGGCTTGTTGCGATGGACAAGGCTCACGATGGCGTGCTCAGTCGCCACCCCCTGCCGGATCCTGGGGATGGAGGCCACAAGGAGCCGCTCATGGACGCACTCTCGTAGATGGCGACACCTGTTGTGTCCTGTACGAGCAGACGAATACATTGGCTCTCGCTACACGTTCATCAGCATGCAGGCCATCCTGCACACGCCATCCTATGGTTTGTAGTTGAATTCTTTGGCTCGAGCGATGTTTTGCAAGCGCGATGGCAAGGGCGCCCGGCATGGTGTTTGACTTTATGCGCGTGGGGATATTGCTTCATGTTGTCTTTGTCGCGTTCGACGGGCGCTTAGCAGATTTGGTGTCTGAGATTTGAGGCAGAAGAGGAATCGCACAGCAGAGGGGAGCTTTGGACGAAGGGCGACTCGTTATCGGGACCGGCGAGTACTGCACGTAAAACGCCCTTCGGATCGCATCCGACGTGTTGGCGGCCGAGAAGTGCCACACGTCCGACCGAAATGCGAGAATGGACCCTGCAGACGCTAGAACAGGCTCGGAGCTGCAATGGTCGGGGCCTTGGAGCGCCCGGAACTGCAGCGCGCCGTTCGTCGATGTCACGTCGTCAAGCGCTATCCATGCTGAGAGGTACCATGGAATGGATTCGCGGTGGACGCACATCCCGAGTTGCTCTGTGTCGTCCTAGCAGCATGTGAACAACGCAGCAGCACTGGTCGAGGAACCCATGCCTGGTGCCATCGAAACTCGACGTTGGACTGCGGTGGTTTGACCACGTAATGCTCGTTGAAGAAGTACACGAATGGGCCAGTACCATGTGGAAGTAGCGCTTGCATGTTGGCGGGCAGCTCGTCAAAGAGCAGTGCCTGCAGATCGCTGGACAATGGTCGATGGACCAACGCGTTGCGAAGGGCGACGTAAGCTTCTAGGTCGACTCGAGAACGCTGCGTGCGCTACACAACTGCAGCATCATGCGCAAGCCTCTCCAGGAAGCACACGTACGTTGCCAGACGCGAAAATGTCCAACACGCAGCCCTACAGAAATCCTTTACCATGGTGCGATCGTGACCACACAGGTTTACCATGTCGACAAGGTCGTCGGCTGACGTGTGGGCGTACAATTGGTCGCATTCTTCCCGAAGCTCACTTAGTTGAGCAGCGCTGAGGGATTGAGGCAGCAGGAGGTATCCATGCGTGTCAAAGAAGGTTTGATCCGACGCTGTCACGGTCGTATCATGCCGATCCGAATCGCTTCCGTGCCGCCGCTTCATTTCGTTGACGTGAATGGAAAAATGCGAACATTATCCGGAATTTCGGATACTGTCCCAGCATGCCATCAAAACCGAGCAAGACATGGCGGCAGCCAAGGGATTCCGCACGGTGTTCAAGGCGCCGGCGGCGATCAATTGGTTCCCTGGGCACATGAACAGCGCCCGAAATGCCATGAAGGCGCAGTTGAACAGCGTCGACGTGATCATTGAGGTGCGGGATGCGCGGATACCATGGTCGTCTGCCAACCCCGTCCTTGATGGCATTGGCAGCCACAAGCCGCGCCTTGTCGTGTTGAACAAGTCCGACTTGGCGAACTCGAACATGAAGGAGCGCGTGGAATACCGCTTTGATGAGCAAAACATGGACTGCATGTTCACGTCGGTGATCAAAGGCAAGCACATGCGAAACATCCTGCAATGGTGCACCGAGCACGGCAAGTCCCAGTTCCAGTCCACGGCAGGTACGCGAGGCGCGGTCGAATGAGGTCACTGCACGTACCCCTCCACGTGTAGGGACAGTGGTGATGGTCGTGGGAGTACCCAACGTTGGCAAGTCATCCATGATCAATGCATTCCGCAGCATCTCGACGTCGTTGAAGCTATCAAAAGGGAAGAAGAAGGCGGTGGTCGGCCCCACGCCTGGCGTGACCTTGCGCACGGACATCATCAAAGTGAACGAAACCCCCGCGATTTACGTGATGGACACGCCCGGCGTCATGCTACCGAACATTCCGTCGCCGTCGGTCGGGTTGAAGCTGGCGCTGACAGGCGCCATCAAGGACGAGATCGTGGGCGAGGAACTCATCGCGGACTACATGTTGTTCCTGCTCAACCAGATGAATTCGACACAGTACGTCAAGGCGCTCGGTCTATCTGGCCCCACAGACGACATTGATGAGCTGATGGCCAGCATCACCAAGCAGAGCGGCGGCGTCGGCAAGCCGGAAGAACGGCAGCGGCTCCTCGCGGCGCAGTATCTACTCAAGGAGTTTCGGCGGGGCTCGTTTGGTCGGTTTACGTTGGATCCGCTGTAAATCGCACGTAAACAAACGGACAAATGTCATTCATTGAATGGGAGCTTCGGTCCCTCCACATCATGGCGTGCCCACCATGTCGTGCCGTCGATTTCGCCGTCGATCCGCAACTCGACCACACCACCAGTGCAGCTTTCGGTTTGGACCGTCCCCTCGTCGCTTTCCATGGAACGGGGCCCGCACAGAGCTCCGTTGGCCGTGTACGGCCAACATGCTTCCAACAGTGCGCTCCGTCGGGACCGTGCGCCAAACGAACGTCGCCGCGATGGATTCCTCGCCTCGGATGCAGCGCTCTGGTCGGGTTTCAAGAACGACAAGCGAAAGTATTGCATTCTCAATTCGGATTGGCTAAAAATATATTTGTAACTTACTTGTATTGGTTGAAAAGTATGTTCTTTCATCATTTTGTCCAATCAATATGTCTGTAACCATCCCCGCTCGACAAGTACAACTGCGAGCAACCCACGACCTCGCACGTGCATCGAGTTCGCGTTCGCAGCTCCGACGTATCCTGAGGCACCTTGGACAGCCGATAGAATCGTTCATGAGCGATCTCGATGCGTCCATGCGGTGGCTCCATTTCAGTGTGCCGCCCAAAGCGAGCGCAGCTCGTACACCCACATCCGTGGACGGGTGCGGGCTACGATGCAGTTGGTCGTCGGGCACGCGAACCCGGCGCTTGCATTCCTGACACTGACCAAAAATGCCGCATCTTTTGGACAGATTCAGCCGACAAAAGCCGACGTGGTCCAACGCGCTGCCAAAAGTCGAAACAGCGTTCAAGTCTGCCGCCGTCGTCCCTGGCAGCAAAAAAGAGGAGCCGACATTGCCACACAGAAAAGGTAGTTGGCAGCACGACGCAGCATATTCATTGACAGCAACTTTGCTACCGACCGCTGCCAACCGTCCATTTTTCAAGGCGTTCGCGACACCGACCACCAGTCCAGTTCATCACTGCTGCGTACCCCACCGCCCCAAGTCCAGCGCATCCGACCCCCTTCGCAACGACATTCGGATCGCACGTCCCTAGCGCATGTCTTCATCTCCACCCATAAGGCATTCGTCGGGCCGCCTCATCTCGAGCGACAACGTCTCGGCGAACGAGATCCGCTTCGCAGTGTACTCGAAAGCGGTCGAACCAGACTCGCACGATCGACGCCGATTGACCAACCGAGAGGGCGGTCGAGTGGCGTGGCGGCAGGACCGACAACTCAAAAAGGGCTGGAGTACCCGACTCAAGTTCTCGCCGCAACAACAACACGCGGGCAACTGCCCGACAGTTCCTGGTCGCCGTCATGAGAAGCACCAGATGCTGCCCATCACGTCCTGCGCCGTCACCCGCCATCGCGCATGGATTGAATTGCTCACGGCTTCGAAAACCACTGCGACGACCCGCCTTGGTCCAACACGCAATTCCATGAAGCACTTTGGGCTGCTCCCGTCGCGGCCTCCATCGATCGTGCCTTTGTCGATACGATATTTCGCGACACTGCTTCCATGGCGTCCGACCCGTTCCTGTGGCAACGCGATAGCCAAAGTCGAGCCTGCGATGCCTGCCAAGAACATGAGCCTTGACTCTGTCCGTGCTTCGTGGCACGGTGGTGGGACCGCCGCAAACGAATGGCACCAACTTCGTTGTCCAACTCTGCATGTGCCACACTCAAACGGGCCGCCACGTGACGAAAAGCAAAACGGCGTCGGCGATTCCTCGACGAGCAGCACGACATTCCAGAGAATGATTCACTTGTGGTCCCAGCGACCTGGACACACCATCGAGCGCACACTTGCAAGTGGTGCGGGCATGTCGTGTGGGGTGGATGTGGGCATGCAATGCCACCTGCCCCCCGATCCTTGTTTCCACAAGGACGCACCGCTTCCGTGGCAGCCGCTCCTTCACGTCCACACGATCGAGTACTGGCATGCCGCCGTGGGTTGTACCCATGGCACACCGACCGGTTGGGCGACACGATCGTAGCCATTCCCCACAGCAGTCGATCCATCCTCAAACGAGCGCGACGAGTGCGTTTCATCTCGTATTGGCCGGTCTGCTTGTCCTAGAACGGTGCTGTATCGAGAGCTGCCCAGAGCCGCCCCAACAGCCTCGACGACGGCAAGCGGCCTCGAACTGCCATGGACGCCCGCGTGTACATGTTGGACATTACACCTAGGGCGATGTCCCGTACATCTCGAGACGCTTGGGGGCGTGGAGGAGCGGCACGTTCTCGTGGAGGGGCATCACTTGCGGCGGCGCATGCGGCGTCATCGTGGCCGAGTGGAGGACACCCCCCGATCGAAAGTCCACCGAGACAAGGACAAACCCAACGCCAAGCGCTGCAAACGCGCCAAACCATTCGTGCGCGAACGGAATGTACTTGTGGTCGGCCGCGATGTACCTGACGACAACCACCATCGGCACGGCAGCCAAACCGCAATTCTACCGGGAAAACGTTGGCGCATTGTCCGCTTGAGAGGTGCAGAGGTACCAGAGACGCGCCGCCAGGACGCCAGACGCCGTTTCCACGTGATGCAGCTCGACGCAATCGATGGGCTCCGTACCACAGGAACTCCATCCACCGCCACATGCAGCAAGCACGTCGTCGCCGTCGAGATGCTGTACACGACTTCGTCGCTCTCGACGTTGAGGCACTTGACGTGGA